GTCATCAAGGCCGGTGTTAGACGACCAGGATGATTTGGATTGGGTCGCAGGGTCAAAACCTTCAGCAAGTTACCAAATTTTAGACATGTCTGTGTTAGATTCTCCATTACTACTTTGTAATCTTCATCGTGTTCGAGATCATCTTCTACATCAATCGCATCACTCAAGCAGATGATCCTGGTGCGGTTATCGCATGGTTTGAGCATATGCATCTGTTTTTCCGGACCCTCAAGCCCAACACTAGTAGACCCTGGAGACAAATTGAGACTATGGTTAGACTGGCTTGCTTCTTCTACAAGAACTCCTTGTGACATTACCTTCCCAGTAGCCTTCTTCTGCCCCTCGTCGATTAGGTAAGTTTTCCAATTGCGGCGGTGCTCATGTCGGAGATCGTGGGGTGAAAATCCAAGGAAGGTGAAGAAGCTCTGGACAAGAATAATAGTTTTGCTCAAGGAGACTCTCTCTATATAAAATGCCAAAACCAATCCTTATTCGTTTGGTTATACCAACACATAGGATTTGATACATATCTGTAATTTCATAGGGAATTTGCTAATGTAAGTACAGGGTGAAATGAAAAAGAAAGTTATCTATGCAACCAAAGAAAGATCAGTTCAAAAATCTTGATATCACAACTTTAGATAGAGGAAAAGAGCAAAGATGCATTAGTTCCTCCAAAGCCAAACGAATTCGAGACTGCTGTCCTAACGAGCATCTCTCTCGAAGTATTTAAAGGCGTGAAATTATGGTCGAAGATGGGATCTGGATTCTTGACATTCAGAGTCAGAGGAGCAACCCCCTACAAAGTTTTTGCAGGTTCTATTTAGGTTACAAGAAATTCAATCATCAGACAAGAACGAAACTAAGAAATGAGAACGCTTACGTGATGTATAGCAAGGATAGTGAAAATAGCTTCCACTGCTCCAGCTGCTCCAAGAAGATGACCAGTAGCCCCCTTCGATCAAAAGAAGTAGAATTCGTTTATTGACAAGAGTTTGAGGCAAGTTTAAGCAAGTCCTGTCTCTTAATTATTTGCAGCACATAGTTACTACTTACGACTCTCTGGTAACATCAACTGACTAAGAAAAAGCACGCATTTTTACCTTGGTGGAGGAGAATGCCAAGGTGCCTGAAGTAGCATGTTCCGAGAATACAGTCTTGATAGCTCTTGCTTCCACGGCATCGCCTAGAAATTGTATATGATAACAGAATCATGAATTCAGTTTTTGTAAAACCAAAGCCAACCAAAAATTTCAATCTTTTTACCTATTGGGGTTGATGTTGCATGTGCGTTTATGTAATCAACTTGGTTTGGACACAGAACAGACTGCAAAGTCATGGGCATTCAACCAAATCATTAGAATCCAAACTGCTAAAAAGCAAAAACATAAAATCATCAACAGAAACCATTCTAGGAGTACCATAGCAACAACTATGCAGTTAATCACAGCTTACTTGTCTTAACGCACGTGTCATTGCCAAAACAGCCCCCTTTCCATCTTCAGGAGGTTGAGTAATATGGTGTGCATCGCCTAAATATCAAGAAACTCACTCTTAGGTAATTCAAAATGACTTTTACTGGAGTATTATTTATCTATGAGTGCACAATTTGTTTTATTGTTATCTATGAGTATAACCTGACATCCCATATCCACGAAGCTCAGCATAAATTTTTGCTCCACGTCTTTTTGCATGCTCATATTCCTTTGTTATAACAAAAAACAAAAAACATTCTTAGATTAAGACCAAAAAACAGTAGGAGATGACTTTCCAAGACTCCAGCGTTAAGGTAAAGGACATAAATCTCACCTCCAATACTATAACCCCTGAACCTTCCCCTATCCTGCAACCAAATCAATAGGGATGGAATCAACATCACCAAAAGAGATTTTTTTATATTAACAATGAAGAATGTGACTCACACAAAACCATCCCGGTCACAATCAAAAGGTCGTGAAGCTTCTTGCGGCGAAGAATTGAACTTAGTTGACAAAGCTCTTGATCTAGACCAAAAAAAAAAAATCTCTATGCTTGTTATATCTGTCTAGAATTATATATATGAATTCTATTGCTACAGAATCATTTTAGGTATGAAAGCATTAACAAGGGTATTACTAATGAGCTGAACTGGGAGCCTGTTTACACATGAGAAATTAATGATATAGGACTTCTGTCTCCCAAAAGAAACACTTTTATATGAAAGCACATGAAGCGTGTGAGAACAAGCATCAGTTACCTAGAGAATCCAGCAACAGACAGAGCATCAATGCTGGACTCAGTTCCACCTGCCACCATAACATCTGCATCTCCAAATTGAATCATCCTAGTGGCATCACCTATAGAGTGTGCACCAGTTGCGCAAGCTGTCACAGCAGCATGGTTGGGCCCCTATATTCCAAAGCATGACAGTGCTAAGCAAACAGTTTTCTACTTAAGAATGTCAGAGGACTACTCTAGACATGTTATAGACTAGAAAAGTATGTGTAAATCCATATCACCCCAATATCACAAATGATACGTAAAGGAAGAGTTCCGAAATTAAAACTCCTTTTACCAAACTGTAAGCCAACCACCATTGAATAGTTCAAGATGTTGATACAATTTTGCATAAAAGAAAATTGAAAATTTCAACATACCTGGAATCCATACTTCATGCTCACATGACCAGATGCCATGTTTACTAATATTTTTGGGATGAAAAATGGACTAAGCCGCCGCAGTCTCTGCATCACTATAATTTGTCAAGTCTTACAAGCAACTAAGATGCACAAATAGTCAAGGAAACAATAACACACCATCCTTAAAATATGTTATTCCTAAGAAAATGATGTAGAGACAACAACAATGTCAAACCTTTTCACAAATCAGCTGCGCTGCCTCCACAATGTCACTTATACTTCCAATTCCACCACCAATTGAGACTCCCTGGTATTCCCAAAATTTCCAAAATTAGAGAAAACAAACTATAAAGCAGAATCCCTCATCATTTATAAAACATAAGAAAAATACTTAACAGTTCTTTCTTTATCTTCCTCTTCAGTTGGTAACCACTCTGCATCCCTCAAGGCTTCATCAGCAGCACATAACGCATATCCGATAAAATTCGCAACTGCCTCCAAGATTCAAAAAGAACAATAACAGAACCTTAACTTAATCCATATCTAAAACAAACAATATCAAGCTTCCACTAGAATGAATGATGCTTCTAACCAAATTCACAACAGCATAATATTTGACTGTGTTCCTAGTAACTGTGTCCTAGCCAAAAGGGATTGAGCTTTGTAAGATACCTTGGAGTTTAGCCAAAGGGCTTGATCAAATTCACCTGGGTTTGATCCATAAGGCACAAAGGCAGCAACTTTAGAAGGGAGCTGATCAAAAGTATATAACTTTGTCTCTTCATCAAAAGTCTTCATCTTGAGATCATCAAGAGTCAATCCTCTAATCCCACATTCTCCACCAATTAAACGCTTCCATGTTGTTTCAACGCCTCGGCCAAGTGGAGTCACCATGCCTAGACCTACAGTCACAGTGTCTCACATCAGAGAAATTACAGAGATAAGCATATGTAAAGACATGGAAATGGAGAAGGAACAAGACCAGTGACAACAACACGGCGATGTGAAGAAGAAGAAGATGAAGAAGTAGAGATGAAGCGTTTCAAGCGGATGCGACTTGAGCTTGAGCTTGAGCTCAAGTGTCTACGGAGATAAGAGGTCGCCATTTCACAGCGACCGCGACGGAGACGACGGCGAAAGAGAGAGGAAGAGTTTTCTGAATCATCATCGGTCAGGGATAAAATGGTTTTGTTTGTTTTGTTAACCGATGGTTTAGTAAATCCATCGGTTAAACCGGAAATCAATTGGAAATTCGTTCAAAAGACTCGTTAACCAGACTGATTAAATCATCAAACCGAGTACTGTACTAAAGTAGTGAAGCTCCTCCTCAAGTCAAACGAGCTGACAGCTTTAAATAATTTTCCAATTTCTTCATTGGTATGGCCTAAGGTTTAATCATAATTTTTTTTTTCATTTAAAATTTATTATAATTAGAAAATTTAGTTTTGTAAACGCAACGTTTTCGACCGCTGAATCAAATTGACGTTTAAAATTGCTAACTGCAGAATATAATGATCGATATAGCGTTAATCTATAATAACGAAATGAACAACAACACATGTGACAGTGACAGATCCATAAACATACAAAAACGGTTTTTGTTTTTTTGTCTATCAATATAAGTAAATTAACTAGTTTAACTAACTAAATTAATAAAGATTTGCCATAAAAGTTCTTGTCAATCAACTAGATAAATTTATGTGGTAACAAATTTTACAATGTAACTAAACAATTACTATGTAATTTCTTCGCAATATTTTCAGATGAGTAACGTGATAAATCATACTATATTTAACTCTATAACTTTTTTTTGACTGATTAAAGCCAATGAGAAGGTCTCAAGCAGATTTGTGTAAAAACGTACGGATAGAAACGAACTTTGCGCGCCAAATTTAACTCTATAACTATAAATTACAAATAATAATATTTTCAAGAAACTATTTTATTAAAAAATATAATTAACTTTATTAGTTTTAACTTTTTCCCCTATTTGTTGTCAAAATTACCTTTTAACAAACCTAATCAAAGAGTAATGAAATAGGCGTTAAAAACACAAAATATTTTGCAATTTAACAAAAAGATAAAATTCATAAAAGGAAAAAAGTCATTGAATAAAAAGAAAAAGATAAAATTTCTTTTTTCTTTTTTTTGGTAAAATCAAGAAAAAGTGAGTAAAACGGGCAATAAATGTTAAGATAACAAATTTTGACTGAGTTAATTTTTTACAGAACTAAAGAAACACAAGACACAAAAGTGTTTTGGAAAGAGATTTACACCAATCTCACTCCACGTGGCACTTATCTATCCCAATCTTATTATTATAAATTTAATATTAATCCCGTCGAAATTTTTTATTTTTTTTATTATTCTCTCTTCTTCTCTCTCTCTCAAAAACACAAAACTCTCAAAGTCCTCCTCCTTCTCGATTCTTCAATTCAAAAAAATTTCCAATCTTTCTCCAAACCCTAATTCTCTGTATCTTTCTCTGATCAGAAATCGGATCTAGGTCTTTTCTTATTTTTTAAGAGAATTTTTAAGAGATTATGAGGAAGAGAGAGAGAGAGAACCCTTGTTCGATTTGTGGGCATTACCATAAGTACGAGGAAGGTGAAGTTTGTGGTATATGTGGTCACTGTATGCCTGTTTCTTCCGACACAGCTTCGGTTCCTCAACAAGCTGTCCACATCAGTGCTTTTGCCTCTGAGATCCTCCCCGAGTTTCTTTACCTCGGTAGCTACGACAACGCTTCTCGCTCTGAGCTTCTCAAGACTCAAGGGATCTCTCGTGTTCTTAATGTGAGTTTTTACCAAGAATTGGTTTTGGTTTGGATTCTTGAATTGGTTTTTGTTTGACCCTTAAGCAAAAGATACGATCTTTCGATAGTTCTTGAAGTTATTGAATTGGATTAGGATTTGCTTATACTTTTGTTCACTTATGGTTTCTGTTAAAGTTCCTGATATAGTAATTGAGAGGGATGTGTTTATTTTTGGTATTGACTCTGTTTTTTGTTTCTCTGTTTCAGACGGTACCTACGTGCCAGAATCTATACAGGAACTCATTCACTTATCAGGGTCTTGATAATGAAAAAGTTTTACAGTTTGATGATGCTATCAATTTCTTAGGTTTGATGAATCTAATCTCAAATCTCAAAAAAAAAAAAAAATCCTAGTTTTATTAACAGTTGATTTGATCTCTTTTTGTTTGTCTCTTACCCTTCTGTTTGATTTGTACTGTGTAGATCAATGTGAGAAGGACAAGGCACGTGTTCTTGTGCACTGTATGTCTGGGAAAAGTAGGTGAGTACATTTATCATTCCTCTTACTGTTATCTAAAATTGCGGCTGCTTTCTTAAGATTTGCCATGAATGACTTCAAGACTGATCAGGACATTTTCTTGCTTTCTTGTTTTAGAGATTTATAATCTTTGTTGAGCATGTCTTAGTGTTAATCACTCTTGTGTTTTGACAGATCACCAGCGTTTGTTATAGCGTACTTGATGAAACGTAAAGGGTGGAGACTTGCTGAGAGTCATCAGTGGGTTAAACAAAGGAGACCCACCACTGACATAAGTCCAGGCAAGTACTTACTCTGTAGGATTAGAAACTTATATCCTTCTTGAAAGGAAACTGTTGCTCATTGCTTTTTTCTTTCTGTACAGAGTTCTACCAACAACTGCAGGAGTTTGAGCAGTCGATTTTCGGATCAGGGATGATGTCGGCAATGAATATTAACGATGCTCCAACATTCGGGTTTGGTTTCCCTAAGATTGATAATCAAGCACAAGCACCTGTGTTCAATAGCGCTCCTGCTTCTTCGATATTTTCATCACCTGCATCAAGTATCCCTCCTCAGGATTTCACTTTTGGAGCAACTCCACCAAAGCCAACAACAGGCGGTGATATTACCATGGATGGCTCTTAGAACCAAATCATCAATACTCTGCAAAAATATTCACCAACAAACATAATGTTGTCAGAATGTTTCTTTTTCTTTTTTCTTTTTCTTTTTTGTACATGGAGATTGGTGCATTGCTTGAGAGAGTTTGGAGTTTGAGAGATACATGAGATGAATCTTTGATCTTTGTTGCTTTGGTGTTTTGCATCTTATCTCTCTATGTTTCAGGAAACATCCTTGTCTCCTTTAACATCTTAGCTTAGTAAAAGAAACATTCCTTACTTGATGAGTTGCTGTCATGGTTATACTCACGTTAATTCTGAAACACATTCCAACCTTAGACTAAAGCAATAATAGTGATAACAGAGCTGGCAGGACTAAGCGTACTCTAGTATTAAACAAGGGAGGGCCTTGTGAGTTATGACAATGTATGACCCAAAAAGTTATGCAAGCAATAAATATGCTTCATGAGAGATTTCAACGCTTGGTATCATAACTAAGAATAGTGGAAGCTGCTAGCAAGCTTGGTGTATATCGATGAGATTCCAAATCATCGCAATGAATTATGTTACTCAATTTGCTTTCTGGCGGATGCAAGAGCCGTATCAACTTTTCGGAAGCAACAACTTGTTTTTCTCTCATCTTTTCATCCAAGAGCAGTTTCCTACAAATTTCAGACAACATCTCACATCATCATCATGCTCAGTTCTTGATAGCTGGATAACATAATATGAGTTAATGTGGACGAAAAGAAATAAATATACTCTAGTGTGACGGCGAGATTTGAAGGGTTGCAGGCTTTAAACAAAGCTTCAGGAATGATTGGTGAGTCTAGGAGAATGTTTGGGAGAGAAATATAAGGTATGTTGGCTTTGTAACGGATTATTAACTCTGTCAAAAAATGTGCCCGGTAAGCGACAAGGGAAGGCAGACGAGCGAGCTGCAACTCAACAGCAACTGTCCCTGAAGTGCATAACGCAGCCTGACTTGCCTGTTATTATAGAACACTGTTCAATGAGAGAAGGAAATAGAAAATACACCAAGAGAGTAAGAGAAAGAGTGTTTGGAGACTTACACCAAAGGCATCATATTTCAGCTGAGTGGATCCACTCGGGACTACTATTGCTGGAACTGGCCACTCATGAAGGGATTCTCCAATGTAATGATCAACTTGACTATTGGGAGCGACGTGGATGAGCGTCACTAGTTTTGGAAACGGGTCTTTGAGTAGCTTCATTGCTTTGGAAAATATTGGTAGCATTCTTTCAACTTCTTGTAATCTGCTCCCAGGTAGCACCGAAATGACTGTGGAGTCTTTTTCATGAAACGTTATGCAATGCAGCAAGAGAACAATGACAAGTCAACAAAAGTATATATACAACCTGTAAAAAAGGTCAATCATTTAGATAAACATCACATTACCAAAAGGAAGTGAGTATTTGCTTAAACTCAAGCCTTCAAGCTTCAATTCTTCTGGCTTGAACGTCCTCGCCTGCAACAGCATAAAGAACCATGGCATTAAGAAATCTGAGAGAGCACCATAGAAACTGAAGTAATCTAATCCAAAAAGAAGAAGAAAATGCATACAAGATAAAACTCAGAAGCATCCTCAAGAACAGGATGTCCAACAAAGGTTGCTTCGACCCCATGTTCCCTACAAACGCTCTCCTCATTTGGAAGAATGCAGAAGAGATGATCAACAAATTCAGAGAGACCTCCAAGTCTTGACTCTCCTCCTTTCCAAGCCCAAAACGACGGTGCAACATAGTGAAAATGTACCGGACAATTTTCCAAGCGCTGCTGATTGTATCTAGCTGCAAAGCCAAAAACCATTCCTCCATTGTCCTACATGATATATGTGAATCTATTCAGGAAACTATTTGCTCTGTAAACCCATTTATTAGGTTCCCATTTCTTTTCTACACCACAGGAAATAGTGAAAGACATAATCCTCCTAGAGATTAAAGTCAGATTAAGTATAAAAAAGTTCCTACTATGGAAGAAGTAGCCATAAATACTTGTACAATTCAACAAATCTTGCTTTAGATGATGAGTGACACATTTAATAGTCTATAGTTACTAAATCTCAACTATTCCTAGGCAATGCTCAAAAATTTAGTGTTGTTTACCTCGTAACTCCTTAAGAAGACGAAAAGAGAAGCCTTTTGAATCAACAGTCACAACAACATGTGGCTTAAACTTAACCGCAGCATCAATGGTCTCTTTCAACTTCACCTGGAATCTCAAAAACTAAAGTAGTCAATCAAAATGATCTAGAGTAGCTTCATATCAAACCATTTGGGTTTAAATTAGATTACTCACACGGAATTTATACAGATGTGGCAAAAGCTCCCACATACCCATCACAGCCAAATCCTCCATAGGAAACAAACAACTCAAACCTTGCTTGCACATCAAGGATCTTAAACACCGTACAAAAACATCAATTTGTTAGAAATTAAAGTTCCAATTTTTATTAAATTTTCAACTGAGATATCAAATCTTTAAAAAATTGAGACAAAACCCAAGTGCATACCCTCCAACTCCATGGAATCTAAGTGGTAAAGGAGAGAGCTTTTTGAGCGAGGACATAAGACGAGAGCCGATGTTATCGCCGGAAACTTCGCCGGAGACGATGAAAACTCTCAGCTCCCCATCGGTTGCAGCCTTGTCGATCACTGATTTAGTAGATTGAAATGAGGAGTATCTTTTGGTGAATGCTGAGAGAGGGAAACAGGGTTTATTCTTTGAAATCGGAAACATCATCTTTCCGACAAGATACAGAACACAAAAACCCTGACGTTGTTGTCGATGAAATGAATGATGAGCGGACTACGACGATGTATCAGTTTTTTTTTTTTTTTCTGGTGGACTCTTATGGGCCTTTTAAGGTCACTTATTAAATTGTCATCAAGGCCCATTTATGATATTGATATTGTCGAAGATGATAAAGGTCACTTTTATGAAAGATAAATTTTGTTTGTTTGACCAAAAAAAAAAAAAAAAAAAGTTTGTTTTGGTGGTTTTTAAAAAGCTAAAAGTTCGTGGACAAAATTTATGAAAAAAAAAAAACAAGTATAGGTGAAAAAAATGCGGCAAACCCTTGAAAAAAATCTCAATTTTTGTTTTGACAAGATAAATCCCAATTCTTACTGTTTTTAATTAAATTTATTTATTTTCTTGAATTTGCCCATGCATATCATGAAATTGACTAACATATATAACAAGTTAATGTGTTTGTTTTTATGTTTAAAGTGTCTTTCTTAGGACATTTGATGAGTTTGTTTTTGTGTTAAGGACGTACACTTAAATTAATTGTCCAATGGAGATGGTCTAACGATGTTATTTTTGTTAAGTGATGTTCCCTTAGTTAATATTGATTGATTATATAAAGAATTAAAGATCATTAGGATCTAAAGACACACCTAAATTATATGTGTGATGTAAAGAAAGCTAGTGATGATGACAAAGTATTATAGATTTTGTTCTCTTTTCTAAAAGTAGTATTTTAAGATGCATGAGTACAACAGAGACGTCCAAGTTTGGTTCGTACTTAGCTTGCTTCCATTTTTGGGATATTCCAAAAAAGAACTGAAAATAATGTCTTTATTGAACTTTTGAGTAAACAAAAACTGAAGATCATCATCACATCACATGCACGCACGCATGGTTTTGGGATATTCAAGATTTAGGAAATTATTTAGGGTTTCTATTTTGTTATTTACTTTTCTCATAAGTTTAACATTTACGTCGTACGTGTTTATTATACAAGTAAGGTAAAGATGAGAGAACATCCAAGCTAGAGAGCTAGAGAATTTGGAGGTTTAGATAGGGTTTTAGGCATCGAGAGCTTGAGGATTTTGGGGTTCGACAATGTGTGTTCTCTTGTGTAAGGTAGTTGTCATATTGGTGCAGTGGAGCTGATCCTTGTGTAAAATCTCTGGTTCAAATGTTTTCATGATTTGCAAATCTGAGTTGCTTCTTCTTGAGAAGAATTATATTAGATATTTCGATAGTGGATTTTTTTTATGATATATTGAAATATATCGTACTAAGGCCATCATTAATGGAAGTATCTTAGAGTTAAAATTTGCATAGGAAAATATTTTGTATAAGGTACACCTTCTTCAGTTCTGTTTTTTTTTTTTCTTTTTTCTCAATCGTATCTAATATTTCTTTGTTTAATTTGGATGCACCTTCTTCAGGTAGGCTATGCAGAATCTATGAATTTTCCATTGTTCAGAAGAAGAAGATCTTCTTCATGGTAACTAAGATATATGCATGCATGCATGATCCTTGATTCCTTATTTGCATGATCAAAAGAAACTAAGAGAGTGTTTTTTTATATGCAGGGCTCTCTTCTTGTGTTTACTTACACTCACTCTCTGCGTTACCAAAGGAGACTCGACGACCATCAATGTAAATAAACCGAATCCACATTCACAACACAAAATTTTATATTTATATATTACTATATAATTAACTTTTCTTTTTCTCTTTATTTGTAAAACCTAACAGAGTCCTGATGGAGATATCATAGATTGCGCGGAAATATTAGCTCAGAAGTCGTTTAGTCATCCTCTCCTCATGTATCACAAGCTCCAGGTCTTTGTTTATTTATATTTTTACATACTCATTTACATATTAGTTTCAAATATTGTATGTGTTTAGTTCTTATTTCCGAAACAAAAATATAATACAGGAAATACCAAGAGATCTTCCTAACACAGCCCAAAATGAAGATGAAGTTAGCGGCTGGCAGATTTGGAACAGTCACAACGGGTTGAAATGTCCTGAAGGGACGATTCCTATACGTAGAGTGGTTTCTCCAAAGAATGAGGTTACTAAATCTATGGCTGAAGCTGGACTCAACCTCAAACATGAGGTAAATATAATATGAACTAGTCCAAAGTTCATCATTATTTATGCTCATTGTTATATTCTACATTAACGTTAATTTTTCACTCTATATTTGTTTTTGTATACATAGTATGCTATCGCACAATTGAATGACACACATAAGATTTATGGAACAAAAGTCACAATGAGTGTGGAGCACCCCAAAGTTACTCAAGTCAACGAGTTCAGCTTAAGCCAAACTTGGCTCGCCTCAGGTTCATTTGAAAGAGGTGATTTGAACACTATCGAGGTTGGATGGCAGGTAGAGATTTTAGTTAATAATTTTTATATATATATATTTTTAATTAATTTAAAAATTTATGTATGAAATATGACTAATATTATAATCGTTTTTAAAATTTATGTTCTATATAGGTTTTTCCCGGGCTATATTTGGACTACCAACCTAGACTTTTCATTTTTTGGACTGTAAGTGTGTGATATGTTTCTTTTCTGATCACTTCAACTTTATTACAATATGTTCTCTATAAAACGAATAATACATTTTTTCCCTTTGCAGAATAATGCATACAAGGGTGATACTAGATACAATCTTCGATGCCCTGGTTTTATACAAACTAGTGGTAATGTCCTCATCGAAGGGGCTATCGAACCTCACACCAAAGCTATTACAATCCAGATTTGGAAGGTTAGAGAGATAATTTTATCTTGTTTTAGTATATCATATGGCCGTTTTTCTAATATATAATTTACAAAATGTAGGATCCAAATCTTGGACACTGGTGGTTGTCTGTTGGTCCGAACAGTGACATTGGACTTATGCCAGTTGGTTATTGGCCGAACGAGATCTTTACTTGTCTCTCTGACTATGCAGAGGGTGTCCAGTGGGGTGGTGAAATAGTAGACTCATTCGTCTCCGGTCTGCACACGACAACCCAAATGGGGTCTGGGTATCTTCCTAGCTCCGCTAGAGCGGCCTACATGCGTGATCTCGAAATTGTTGTTGACACCCAAAAGTTCCAACCGATCTACGATCTCACAGTAATAAAGATGAACTCCAACTACTACAACATCAAGAAGACTAGCGACACGAGTTTTACTTATGGAGGACCTATACATGCGGGAACGGTTCATCATCTTAGAGTCAATTTAGTTGTTCTTTATTTATCTTTCAGCCTTCTTTTTCTCTTTTAGTTTATGTTTTCTCTCTATTCATTTTGATGATGTCGTACATTGATATAACTCGACGATGCTTTGGTTTGTTACTTGGCAGTGATTGCTTTTATTTACTTGTCTCCTCAATTCTTTTTTTTTTTAACCCTATCGGCTGATCCGGTTAGCCCCGGTAGAAACGCACCGAAATACTTCAGAGTGGACTTCTCCCCAAAGGGCCACCATACTGTCTATCCCGAGTTTGGAATGCTTTCCGACTAATGTCAGGGGGTAGTCAGGCCGCCTACATTTCTGACTAACAGGTAAACCAGTTGGGCCACAGACTTCCCAAACAACAATGATTTTTGTTTCCAGGGTGGATCGAATCTGGGTTAGTTCGTTCCAACCTTTCCCTAATTCTCCCTTACCACTGGACCACTGCTGTGCGGGCTTTATTTAATTGTCTCGTCAATTCTTTTTTTTTTTTGATAAACCCTAAAACTCTCCTCAATTCTCCCAAAACAGAGAGTTCAAAGTCATGAAAAAGCTCCTCAAGGGACACATGAACGTCTATATATTTTAGTCTTTCGTTGTCAAATAATATTTATATACATATACACGCACATAAGTTGCATACAATACGATTAGATTACATAATTCTTGATATACACTAAGATTAATGGACTTCTTCTCATCATTGTCATCATCATATTCCAAGAATCTATATATCTAAGTAAGTAACAGTAGTACAAGACACAAGTTCATATCAATCTACGACTTTCTCTTGATCATCACAAGCCACGACTTCTCTTGATCTCAAATAAAAGGTTCGTCATCAGAAGATACAAGGAGTACACAAGTGACAAGTTCATGAAAGATAGATTAAAAGTAAATTTTCTTTATTATTATTTTCATATGGTAAGATATATTTCTTTTTCAATTTCCTTTAGTAAATTATTAACTTACTTAATTTTATATAAAACTCATTTAGTACCCGTTTGTTCAAAAAAAAATTAAAATTAAAACTTTATTATTACTATCCAAAACTTTATTTAAGAAGATTATCCTAGTACTAAACATTGTTTCTAAGAAGTCATGGTCACTCGCAAGATTTTGGCCATCACACCAGTAAAATACATTCAAAAATTTTTTTGTGACTATTAACATAAATAAACATTGTTCAAACAATGTTTATTTGCTCACACGCGCGATTCAAAATCATTATGAAATTAGGATGGGCAAAGACTAGTTTCAAACTTAGATTTTGAATTTAGAATCTGAATGGAGAAAGCGTATCGGGCAAAGCAGATCGAACATATCAACCGTATCAATAAGAACGAAAACAAATTAAGCCGATCTAGTGATACAACTGCGGATTAAGTGGTTCAAACACTTTAAGATCTATGTTGAATAGTAAAAATGGATCAGGTGGTGCAGATAAAATATTTCTAGTGTAAGAGCATTAATTAAAATAAATTATTTCAATAAACTATACATACTACAACAAAACTATATTAAAATAAATTTGCAATATTGGTTTCATCTAAATAAAATTATTAGTTAAATTTTGTAGAACATATAAAGTGTGTAGTATACATTATCCAGATTTTGTAAGAAAACAAGTACAATGTATAGAATAAATTCAGAATATCTGGTACACAAAAAAAATAAAAAAAATTCAGAATATGTATTATAAAATTTGTCGATTATATTTTATCTATCCAAAGCGGCAATAAAACAACAGATTTTCGATGTTATAAGGACCCTCATGTCTTCTTTATCATTTTCCTAAGAATTTATCTTTATTTTTTTAGAAAAAGTTGGTTGAATCAATTGTGTTTAGGAAAAGTTGCTATTTGTTCAAAGAATACATAGATGGACAAATTTTAAAATATTTATCCTTAAATTCCAATTTTCCCAATAAAAATGCATTGATTCATTTTTTTTTGGTTAAAATAGGGAATTTTGTAAAATATAATCAAGGGTAACAACGCTAAACTTATATAGACAAAGATACATCACCAATACTTTCAAATATTATAGACATATATATATATGTGACTATTTAAATCAAATATATATTTCAAAAGTAAATTTGATAATGTGTTTTCACTCTACCATTTTGTTAATTAGCTTCTAAATGAAATTCAAGCATTTGTTAATTCATAAGCTGTTGTTCCAACTTGATTAAGACATTTGATTGAGATAGATCAAATCTAGTGTCCTTTACGGAGTCAAGAATCCTAATTTCATAAGTTATATCTATTTTTTAGACAACATAACACAAAACATCATTTCGAAACACTTTTCAACGCTTGAACCAACTTGATTTAATGTTTATGTAGACCCTTATCAATTTTAAAAGAATGATTTTAGCTCGACATAGTCATGCCTTTCAAACTGAAACCTAACTAAAGAATTAAAATACCAATATTATTTCCAATTTGGTCGTATCCACTAAACATATAGAGAGAGCCAAAGTCAATCCAACGGTAAAAGAGAGCAGTATTGATTGAGCGGCAAGCGACCAAACAACGAGTCATGCTGAAAACAATAATGTCTCACCAGAATTTTTCAGCATTAATTGAAACACACAACAAACCTCTCCTTATTCAATGAAACCACATTTTTCAAAACCTCTCTTTATAAAGAGAGTGTGAGCCTTATTCATTTTCACAGCTCATGGAATCACACCATCACAAATCAAAGACCACACATTAACACTATGGAACAACAACACCTCAAAAGCCTCTTCACAATTCTCTTCTTGATAACTATGTTTTCGTCGACAACCGCGGGTAAAGTACCGGCGATTCTCGTGTTTGGCGACTCATCGGTTGATGCCGGGAACAACAACTATATCCCAACGGTTGCGAGAAGCAACTTCGAGCCGTATGGACGGGATTTCGTTGGTGGGAAGCCGACCGGACGGTTTTGTAACGGAAAAATCGCGACCGACTTTATGTCCGAAGCCTTAGGGCTTAAACCGATTATTCCGGCATACTTGGATCCTTCTTACAACATTTCGGATTTTGCAACTGGTGTCACCTTTGCTTCCGCGGCCACTGGCTATGACAACGCCACTTCTGATGTTCTGGTACGGTCTTTTTTCTTACCCTTGTATTTATTACATGTACTATTTGGTATGATACATTAAATAAACACTTTTATGTACATTAATGTATCACACGTCTTTATATAAAACAATTCTAGACATAAATAGCGATAAATATTGATTAGAAAGGTTATTTAGGGATATGTTTCTACATTTATTGATGATATATTTCGTTGATGGTGATTGTAGTCAGTACTACCTCTATGGAAACAACTCGAATACTACAAAGAATATCAAACAAAACTAAAAGCATACCAAGGGAAAGACAAAGCTGCCGATACCATAAACGACTCTCTATACCTCATAAGCATAGGGACCAACGATTTCCTCGAAAATTACTTCGCTTTTCCGGGCCGTCCTTCGCAGTACTCCGTAGGTCTTTACCAAGATTTTCTAGCTGGAATAGCCAAAGACTTTGTGAAGAAGTTACACGGACTTGGTGCTAGGAAGATCTCACTAGGTGGATTGCCTCCAATGGGATGTATGCCTTTAGAAAGAGCCACAAACCTTGGCACGGGAGGCGAGTGCGTTGGACGCTACAACGACATAGCGGTTCAGTTCAACGACAAGCTTGAAAAGCTGGTTGAGAAGCTTAACAAAGAGCTTCCTAGTTCCAACATCGTTTTCTCAAATCCTTATGAACCATTTATGCGAATCATCAAGAACCCTTCCTCTTTTGGTAAGTGAACCGTCTTAAATAACTTCATTATCTTCTTTATTTGATTATGTATTGATTTGTTTGAATGGTGAAATAAAAAATGAAAGGGTTCGAGGTGGTCGGAGCGGCATGTTGTGCCACAGGGATGTTCGAGATGGGATATGGTTGCCAAAGGAATAACCCATTCACATGTACCAACGCAGACAAGTATGTGTTTTGGGATTCATTTCACCCAACACAGAAGACTAATCAAATCATGGCCAATGCTCTTATGAATAGCACATTCCCTCACCTCCGCTAGATGATTTTTTTTTTATAATGTTTGTGTGTGGGAACTGGATATGAATGTAATATCATTATTAGCTAGGATATGATGTTTATATATCCAATATTTTTTGGTCCTATAAACTATGTACTATATATGTATGTATTTCAGTATTTATATTTAACTAGAATTTGGTTTTGTGTTAGCTAAACCTATATATGTTTCTTTTTTAGTTTATGGTGTGTGTGTGTGTGTGTGTGCCTATGTAGCTTATTTTATTCTCTTTAGTTATTCTTTTAATATATCTGTTTTTTCATTGTGAAATTTATGGGAGCACTTATTAAACATTTATAACTTTTGCACTGGATATTTTTTCTATACTAAAACCAGCACAATTATGCATTTATCAAAGTTGTATTTTTTTGGTATTTAAGAGAATTCCCAAAATTTGTTTTGGTATTTTAGCAAAATTAATCTTAAAAAAACCTATATTTCACTTATTAGTAACTATTCTAACCACCAAAAGTTAATAATGTAGTATACTATGTAAAAACTATGATATATCCCAATTTAACCTTACCATCACCACCCCCTACTTCCTTAATACCACCACCCCCACCTCCTTACCACCACAACCATCTCCGGTCACCGACCACCGGTACCGCTAGTGGCCGGCCGCCATCAACTCTGGTCACCACTCCTACCATCACCTCCTCCTGTGACCGCCACCATCTCCAACCATAATTTCTGGCCACTGGCCACCGCCACCACCAGTCACCGTCATCACCACCATCGGCCACCGCCACCTCCGATCATCGGACACCACCTTTAGTCACCGGTCACCACTTCCAGATGCCTACCACCACTGCCGGTAACCGCTACTTCCAGCTGCTGGCCACTACATACCACTATTACCAAACAACAACAACACTAAAATTGTAATTATTACCTCTTATCCTATTTTTTTCTAATTTTTTCAAATTATGTGCTACAATTTTTTATTTTAATATTCCAAATGAATATTCACCTCATTCACTCATTTAGTTTTTTTTTTAACTGTTTGAAAAAGAAAAAAAAAATAAAAAAAGACAACAAAACCCTACGGAGAAGAGAAACAGAAACAGAGTCTCAATCTCGCCGACGTGTTTTGTAAGAAGAATAGAACATAAATCTGATTCTTTAGCTTCGATCAATTTCTTACTTTATTTCGATGAATTCGGATTTGGGTTTTAGTTAAAAATCGATTTCTATTAAGAATCTGAAACTCCTCTCCAGTTTTGAGGAGTCTTAGTGTTAGTGTTAATCATTGTGATGACGTTGGTTGCAAATTCTATGGTGAACAAGAGGTTGATGATGATCGTGTATGTGTTGTAACAGAGAAAGCTTGAACCTTTATATTTGGGATTGAATCGAACCTTAAAAAAGCTTTGATCTTTTATGCTTCTATACACTCTCTTGAACTCTGTATTTGTCCTTTTTCATGTTTCAGGTACAACTAGTGAAGATGGGTTCTGTCTCTATGGGTTCAATGGATTGTCTTCCAGATGAGCTTCTTATCAAAATCTTATCTTCTCGTCCTACAAAAGAAGCTACTTCAACCTCAGTTCTCTCCAAGAGATGGAGGTAGTCCTGGGCAATCGGGTTTCGGTTCTACCCATTCGGGTTTCGGGTAAATCGGTATAAGACCTATAGATCACATTCGGTAATTTACAAAAATTGGTTTGGTACGGTTAGTAACTGGCCGGGTTCAGAGCGGTTTTCTACTCCAATACAAAATCCAAACTAACTCGAAATTTTTCCGGGTTATAATCGGTTCGGTTTCTTTGAGTAAAAAAGTACTCAAATAACCGATTAAAACCCAAAATACCCGATTAAAATCAGAAATATCCAAGTAAATAACTAGAAATAACCGAATAAACCATAACCAATACGGTAAAGAGTTTTGGGGATTTCGTTGATAGTACATTGGCTTTACATGGTAACCGTATCAAGTCCTTCTCAATAAAGTTTTAAGAAACACATGGAGATGTTAAGAGCATGGACGATGTTAACCGCTGGATATGTAATGCACTTGAACACAGTTTCCCTGAGCTTCATTTACGTATCAACTCTAATTATTTACCAACCGAGATCATCACCAGCACCATACTGGTTAAGCTGTCATTGGTAACACAATGTTACATCCCTTTTTTTCCTAAGGACATATCTCTCCCAGTACTAAAGGTTCTCTTTCTTTGATTCAATTTGGTTAGAGCCTAATCAATTCCATAATGTGTTTATCCCTGCTTGCCGTGTACTTGAGGACTTAACCATATATCAAAGACCTTATTCAATAGAATTAACCATGGTTAAGGGTTTCTGAGGTATACCTATTGCTCCATTAAGCTATGGCTTCTTGAATAACTGTGGTGAGAGTATACTTTTCAGTATTCTCCAGCAAAATTGGGATAATAACTCTAGTGTTTTCGGTTTCTTTGGTTTTACGATTTATTAGTTTTATAAAAACAAAATCATACGTACGTACGTGACAAGTGAACTTAGCCATTGTTTTTGCATGCGACTTTGTGAAATAAACTACACATATATATATTAAACAAACACTACAACTTTAGGACAAAATTATAGAAACAAAAAAGGTCGTAGATTGATAAAAAGATTGGAAAATAGTTTTATTATAAGATTAAAACAGCTAAATATAATAATGTTACGTATCAGAACTTGGTGCGGGTGCAACCTTTGTTCTGACACATTCACAAAAACAAAGTAAAAATAATATGAACGAGACAAGTCCCCATCCTAGAAATATACAGATTATACCCAAATACTCCATATTGTCTTTTCTTCTTCTTACGAAAGTTCCTACACAAACACGAAAGAAGGTTAGGTTATTATACAGTGATCTTTATAATAGGTGTGTATATATATAAGTCATATAATTGCCTTATCTCTACAACTTGGGAATCTAGGTTAACATATGTAATATATATGCATAAGAAAAAGAAATGAAAGGTTAACATAATACAATAAGATGCAAAATATAAGCGTCAGAGAAGAAAAGGTTTTTTTCCATTTTTTATAGAAATTTTTGTACATACAAACGAGACTATTTTTTTTAGGGTATTTGAAGTAATCTAAATAATCAACTGGTATTTCTTATAATTATTTAAAATTTATTAAAATTTGAAGCTGAACGAATAATTAATTTATTAAATAAATAATTAGAAAAGAATGTGAAATGGAGCAATTGAAAAAAAAAATTAAAATGTTTAAGGAAATATAAAAGAAACAAAAAAAAAATCAGCTAATGATATGAGGCTTAGATTTTGGTTTAACCAAACGGAATCATTTGGTTAGTTAGGTTTAACCCAAATAACCGAATAATAGAACAGTTTAGGTGAACCGAACAAAATTTAAAATGTCGTTGATCGGTTTAATTAAGAGAACCGATTCTGAACCAAAAATAATAAAAAAATCTCAGTTTTGAGTTTTGATTCAGTTTTGTTCACTCAGTATGGTTAAATGTCCCAGGCCTAAATGATATATAATATATATGATTGATTTAGTAATTAAGAAACTCCTAAAACAGAGAAGAAGAGAAACAAAAGATATGTCAAAATCTTCTTTAGACAACAAAAAGAAAAAAAACTCAAAGGTCTAAATAAAAATGATTCCCAATTAACTCCTCAAAGTCTTATGTGATCAAGATGAAATTCTAAGAAAATTAATTTATTTGCATTTAATAAAAAAGGAAAATGAAAATGAATGAAGAGTGAAGTCAACAAAGAAGAGCCCCTCGGGCGCAATGCATGCCGTCTTGTTTTGATAATTGCCGGCAATTTCAATCTCTACCATTCCTTCTCTTATTGTCTCCTCTCCTCCCAATAATTCATGCATCTGCCTAAATTATCTAATCAATTTTTTTCTTTTCTTTCTCATTGGTATTGTAATAACAAAACTACAATGGGATGATTCACATTCAGATAAATTAAACCACTCTTTGTATGTTTTAGTATAATCCTATTTGTATTAGAAAAAAAAAAAATCATTTCGAAGTTTATGATATACTCTCTCGATTTCAAATTAGTTGTCATTTTTTACCGATTTTTTCAAATTAGTTATCGTTGTCGGTAAGTCCGATAACAGAGCAATTAGCAACTGTTAGTATGTTAACAACATGTTTTATGAATGGTTTGCATTTTTAATCTCTTTATGAAGTATGTACAGCTTTATTTCATGTTTTAATCTGCAAGTCAATGTGTATGTATGGTTTAAATGGTTTTCGTGAAAGTTTATGGTTTAATTGACGTAAATGATTGTGTTCATGAATTTAATGACATTTTCCCTATTAAATTTTGATGTTAACTTTCTATTAAATATTTCCATTTTTTTTTGTTAAATTCTCAAGAAATTTCTAGTATGTTGCATACTTTCCATTTTATCTACATATTTGTTATATCACGTTTCAACACCTGAATATTTGTCAATATTGGGGTTTTTTAAATAAACTTACAAGATGCATTCATTATTTGTATATATATGTAGCGTGAACGCTCGAAACAAGGGAAGCTACGTAATTGCTACGACACTATAACTTTTTATACTAGTTTTAAATGAACTAGGATGACATATGTTATAAATTTGCCAATTTGATTTGACGTTGAACCAACCAATCTCATAAGAAAAAAACAACTATACATTAAATACAAATATATAATGTATAGTCTTCTTATTCACATTACAAAACTAACTCAAATATGTATATATTATAATTTAGATTACCAAAAAACAAAAAAGTAGGATTAAGAAGAAACAAAAGTTGTAAGTGTGAACAACAATTATAATGGGTGTGTTTACAATATAATCTGAACAACAATTATTAAAACTCGATCAAACTATGACTTTTTCCCTTTGACAAATTTACATATTGACCTTTAGATGAAATAAAAACTTGATTTTATGAGATTAATATAGATTTCGGTTCGTGGTTAGAAGGAAAAAAGTTATTTTAAGAGATTAATATAGATTTCGATATGAAATAAAAAATATATTTTAAGAGATTAGTATAGATATTCATATATGACTTTTTTTGTAAAACCTAAAAAAAAAAACTTGATTTTAGAAGATTAGTATAAATTTTGGTGTGTAATTTTGCCGGTTAGCTAGCTAGAGAACACAAATCCAAACTAGATTATAAAATGTATGAAAATTTTATTTTTATTTTTTAACAAAATAAAAGTTACATATTGAAGGTAGTAGTAATTAAAAGAGAGAAATAAATAATTAAAAAAATGCCTGGCCTTCCCATGTACGCCGACGACGACAACGACTCATCAAGACAACTCTTTATTTTTCCCGGCGAAACAACGAAGTAACCTCTAATGCATCTCCTCGTATATATGTACTAGTGGTCTCTTTGTGATTGTGTAAGTACATGTAAGTGATCTTTCATGTCTTTTGATCTTCATCTTCATCATCTTCTTGAATCTTGAGATCTTCTTGAATCTTTGAGATTTGTATCTTTGTGAGTCTTCTTTGAGAGAAAGAGAGAGAGGAAGAGGATGATGAAGAACTTTGAAACTCAAACTCTTGTCTTCATTTGGAGTTTTTGTTTTATAGAGTACAATATTGTCACACGTATGATCTCACTAAATAGAGGTTTAGTCAATTAGGTGTGTGTGTGTGTGTGTGTATTTATATGTTTATTTAATGAAACATTGACAGAAAACAAGAAAATTTTGACTTACGTGTTTGAGCATCAGTGTGAACTTCTAGACAAAAACTTGTTGTCTTGTAAGAAAAAATTCAACTTTTCTTTCTTAAATTACGTGTCAAATTATTTTGGTAAATAAATTGGTGTTACTAATTAAATTGACATTAAAAATCTATTTGAGCAAGAGCATATCCATATGCATGTTATTCTATAACACAAGTGAATCGTTTTGTTTATATCAGTTTCTAATAGTATTTGATCAAGAAGGCCTATAAGCACAAAAAAGCACCAACAACAACAATTAACTTGCGTCTACAGTGTCAATTGCTATGAGTTAACAGATTCAACCTGCAAAGTCAAATCTTTTACTCCTGCATCTTCTAGTAAACGTGAGACTTGCAACTTAGTATCCATCTTGTTTGAATCTGCAGATACGAGGAGATGGAGAGTAGCTACAACGTCTGAGTTAGTGAAACTCCATACATGCAGCCTCTGGATACTGCAAACACCTTTAGTCTTTAGTATGTTCTTCATAGCTTCTTGCAGGTCGTGTCTGTGAGCTCTAGGGACTCTTTGCAATAGAACCTCTGCGGAGTTTCTGAGCAACGGAATGACTGATGCGATGATAAGGATGGAGATGAAGATTGAGCTGGCTGGATCAGCAACTAACCAGCCCTTGTATTTGATCAAGAGTGTCGATATCACAACTCCAACACTCCCCATTGTGTCTGCTAAAACATGAAGAAAGATTCCTTCCATGTTGTGGTCAATGTGATGATCGCTTTTTTCAGGTTTGTGATCAGAATGATTCTCATGGTTGTGGCTGGGGTTATGGGAATGATGATCATGGTTGCAGCTATGATGATCCTCATGTTTATGGTTGTGGGAATGCTCATGATGATCCTCATGTTTATGGCTATGGGAATGTTGATGATGATGGTCATGCTCATCATGTTTATGGCTATGAGATTCGTGTGAGTGAGAATGCGTGCAACCAGATCCACCATGAGCATGATGATGTTCCTCGTGGAAAAAGATTAACCCGACAACATTCACAAGAAGCCCTCCAACTGAAACAACCAAAAGACTATTTGTAGAAATCTCCTGAGGATCCAAAATTCTCTCAATCGACTCAAGCACAATCAAAGCCCCAACAAGAACAAGGAAAACCGCGTTAACATAACCAGAAAGCACTTCAAATCTACCTCGACCATAGTTGTACTGATGGTTTGCAGGAAGACGGGAGATATAAGACGCATACAGCCCAATTGCCAAAGCAGCACAATCAAACAACATATGACAAGCGTCTGAGATCAATCCAAGACTATTACTCATAAACCCAGCCACAAACTCAACAACCATATACGCTGTATTGATCAAAAGAAACAGTGCAATCTTCCTCGACTTCTTCTCGCTCAAAATGTGACGGATAGGCTTCATAAACATAGTGGAAAACGACTCAGGCGATTCCATCCCAATCTCTTGGTAATCTGAATTCACAGAGTCCAACTCCCTAACAGCAACATAAAGCAACAAACCACAAAGCAACAATCCCCAAAGAGATAGCTCAGGAAAATAGAAGAGCTCCAAAACAATAGTACATAGAAACGTAACCAGAAACTCCTTCTCTGAGTCCTTCTTCTTCGAGCTCGAAAACTTATCATCATTATAATTCTCACTCAACAATACTCCAAATACAACAGTGTTAGCTAAAGGCCAACCTAAATTCCCAATAGAGACACCATCATCACCACTACCAGAGAACAAGAAACTCCAAATAGCAAGTGGGAACAACAACACAGTGGTCATAAACAAAGATAGTAACCGGACTCGTTTCTGATCTAGCTGCTTGATCTCAACCCAATTCATTGAAACTTTCTCATAACAACCCAAAAACCCAGACAGAAACGGAAGCAACAAAGGCCAAATCCTCAAGCAATTCTCTTTAGGGTAAATCCAAAAACCCCAACTTTGAACAGATGATGAAAACGGGAAACAATCAACACGATCCCAGCTGATTGATAACAACAACAACCCAGCAAACAAAACGCAAAACCCACGAACCTTAGATGATCTAACTCCTCCAATTCCACTATTATCACCAAACAAGGCTCTAGCTGAGACGTTACCTGAGAGTTCAGCTAAGATCATAGCAGCAGCACTACAGTAACGAAGAGCTTGGAAACGAAGAAGGAAGACGAAAGCAAGAAGAAACGATTTCGCGAGCAAGAGTTTGAATTGAGACGAAGAAAGAGACGAAAAGGAACGATTTTGATGGCGGAGAAGAAAAGGGTCTTTCTTGGAAGGTGAAAAGGAAGAGATGATGGAGAAAGAGAGTGAGAAGAGGAAAGAGAGAAGAGAGACGAGGAAGGAGAAAGGGAAAAGAGAGAAAGAAGGTGAAGAACGAAGGAAAGGTAAGAGAGAGTAGAGAGATCTAAGAGAGAAGAGGATGAGAAATAGAAACGAAAGTGATGATTTTGTGTTGTTGCTTCCATGGATCGATCTACGGGTTTTGGAAGGGGTTGGAGTTGGAGTGTAAGGGAAAGATGGGTATGTTCTTCCGATCGTTGGTGATGGTAGTGAAAGACGATTCGGTCGCTGATGGTGGTGATGATGATGATCCGCCATTGTTGAAGCTATTGAGTTTTTTTTCTCCGATAAGTCGCCGGAGGAAGTTTTCGTCAAGACATGATTTTTGGGATTTGGTGGGTTTAAAATCGGTTTTGTTTAACCGGACTAAACCGGAACCGAGTAAGATAAAACTATTCCCGGAATTGACTTTTTTTTTGGCTAAGTCTATGTATGTGTATCAAAATCCCAATGTAATCAATTTTATGTGGTCACCAAAACAACAATAACCAAAAAAAAACTTTTGTAATTGTTTGAATTTAAATACTTCATGTGTTTGCACAACAAAAATTGCAACAAAAAAAAACTTTATAAATTGTATGAATTTTTCGGTAATTTATTTTCTTTTATAGTTTAAAAGATTTAGAGAAAAAAGTCTATTCCACGATCTAGTTAGATTTTGAATGAAAACTAAATTGCTTTGTATGGTGCAGTTTTCATTGTAACGAAACATAGATATTTTTGTTAATATTAGAACTGCACCATATTTTCTTTCAGTTGTTTCGCATATTACCATTTAACTCTAATTTACACCGGACGGAAAAATATCATTTTTGATAAGATGATAAGATTGATTGTTAGAAATTTGTGTGAGTTTCTCAAACGTCAAAGTACACAAAATATGTCAAATAATTCATTTTATTAATAAAAATAAATCTTATTTATTCGATTAAACGAGAGGATAATACAAAATTATTAGCAAATACAACGACATAAAGGAACAATTGGACTAGGAACACATATCAGTTCACACCCTTTGTTGCACCCAAGAGGCTGAAGAACTTGTCGTTTCTCAACTTGTTGCAGAGCTTCATTATGGTGTAATGCATCAACTTGAGGAGTTTCTTCAGATAACACACGTTTTGCCTCAACATTTACAATACTACACATCACTACATAACCAAAATAACTTGTTGTAATTATAAACATAATCAAAAATTTGCATGTAGAGATTCTTAGTTTTGATATGAGATTAGAAAATTTTACCGAATGTAATAGCTAAGAAGGCAATGAAAGCAATCTTCATTGGGGTTTTCTCCATTTTTAATATTTGGTGTATGATGTTTGTTTTAGCTATTGTGAAACCTGTTTTAAAGAATGGAGAAATGTTATTATTTTGTTAAGACAGATTTGCTAAAATCACCTCAAATATTAGGAAAAAACTAAAAATATATAAAAATCTAAATATTTGATTCATTTCTATAAATATTTTGGTAAAAAATTGTACCAAAATTTGCTATAATGCTTACTTTGGTCAAATGATTATCTTGGTAAGAAATCAACCAATTTGCTAATATACATTTTTAGGGGTGTACTGAATCAAACATTTTTAATGATTTGATTTTCATTAAGCTTTAGTGATTTTGTATATGATTTCTTGCTTGACAAAAAAAATTGTGATTTTCTTATAAATTTTGCCTAGAACCATTGGATCTATGTATTTTTAATTAATGAAATCCTAAAGCCACTAACAATCAAATCCTCAAAATGTTTTGAAAAACAGAAAATTATAAATTAAATTTTCCAAATCATTAATTTTATAACATTGGATGTTATTAAAATTTTATAAATTCATGGTTGAATACCATATGATTAGCTATTTTCACATAAATAAAAAAATATTTCATTGAATATACTAACTATATTGGTCCCAATAAATATATATACATATTTACTTATCTTGGTGGTCAAATAATAATTTAGTTCTCAAAATATCTTGGTTAAATCAAGATGTATTTACAATGATGTTGCTAAGAACATTTATGACTGCTTGAAGATGTGGGGTTTAGAGAAGGTTTTTTCTATCACTCTAGATAATGCTAAAGCTAATGATAGTATGCTGAAGATTATTAAGCATCGTCTTCAAAGTGGTAACAAGTTTTTGTGTGATGGAAACTTTTGGAACGTGAGATGTTTTGCACATATTCTCAATCTGATAGTGAAAGCAAGGTTGAATGTAGCTAGTAGTTTTTTAGAGAACAATTGAGACCGTGTTAAATTTGTAAAAGCAACTGAGTTAAGGATAGACTCATTGCAACATGCGTTGAGAGTTTAGGGATCAAAGGTGGAGCTGGTCTGTCTTTGGATTAATATTATAAAACTGTTCCGAAAATTGACTTTTTGGCTGAGTCCATATATCTATCAAAATCCTAATTTAATCAATTTTATGTGATCACAACAACAATAACAAAATACAACCCCCCCCCCTCCCTTTGAATTGTTTGAATTTTCCTATAGTTTAATTTCTTTTATAATTTTAAAAAGTTGGAGAAAATGTCAAGGTTACAATCTAGTTAAACTCCGAATGGAAATGGAAACGCATGGTAATGTGCGATTCTAACAATAACCAAAATATCTTCATATATTTTTGTTATTATTAAACCGTCTCGTATTTTTTTCGCCGTTGTTTTAACACCCGTGTTCATGTTTTGGTCTGGTGTCGATCGACACTAGGTAAGGATATCGATCGACACCGGTTATTTGGGTGGTTAACTGATTCAATTCTGTAATTGATTGGTTTGATTTAATTTTGGGAGAAACATTAGGTTATATTATGAAAATTTTGACCAGCTTCTTCTTATTCTCTTTAGTTGTGTTTTGTCGCTTGTGAGAACTAAGCGAGAGAGAGTTTTAGAGATGATCCTAAGGATTAAGGAGGCTTAAGAAGGGTTTCTGGAGGTTTTTATGGATGATTTTTGTGAGTTTTAGCAAGGAGGGGATTGAATTCGTGGCTGGTGGTGCAAGGAGGGTCTTGTTCTTGATGTTTCCTCTCTTTTTCGTTCCTTCATTCAATCCACATCGAGGTGAGTGCGTGACCATGGTTTATCTGGGCATATAAGACCTTATGATTTGTGTCTGATTGATTTGGGTGGCTGGAATTGTTGTGTTTTGGCTTTTTGTGTATTGTGGATGTTGTTTTGTATTTATTGATGGTTTAGGATTCTCGTTTTGTATCGGTCGACACCAATTTCTGGATAGTGTACAACAATTTTCTGGACAACGAGTAGTCGGTGTCTTTTATGCATGGTTTGGTTTATCTGTTTGATCTTATACATGTTTATTGGTCTTATTATTCATGTGTGTATAACCCAGTAGATGGGATGACCGCTTCACTGAGTATTTGTGATAATACTCACGCATCTCTTTTTTTTTGTGATGCAGGTAAAGATAAGATGTGATCGTGGAATCAAAGCAAGGAAGAGGGCGATGATCTAGGGTCGTTGTTTCGGTTTTAATGTTTTGTTATTTTATTTATGGAAACACGGATTAGAAGCATGTTTACGAATGCTGGTTTAATTTGGTTTATGGAGATTTGTTGGTTGATTTCTGGTTTAGTATTCTAATTGGATTTATTGGAGTTGGTTTAATTGGTTTCCGCTGTTTGATTGCCTGTTTGGTTTAATTTGTCGGTTAATATTAATTTATGGGGTTAATATTGATGAATTAAAAAGTTGGAAAACAGGATGGATCGTTTCAGTTGTCCTGTGTATTATCAGTTATCTCTATTAAATTATGTATTCACTGATTCGTTTGAACAAAAAATATAATTTATTTTATAAAATAAGATTGATTTTCAGAAAATATATAACAAAGTACACAAACATATGTCAAATAATTTATTTTATTAATGAAAATATATCTTATTTACTGGATTAAACGAGAGGATAATACAAAATTATTAGCATATACAACGGCATGAAGGATTAACTGGATCAGGAAAACATATCAGTTCACACCCTTTGTCGCACCCAAGACCTTCTCGTTTCTCAACTTGTTGCAAAGCTTCATTATGGTGTAACACAACAACTTGAGGAGTTTCTTCGGATAATACACGTTTTGCCTCAACATTTCCAACATTTACAATACCACACATTACTACATAACCAAAGTAAGTTGTTATTATAAACATAAAATTTTGCATGTAGAGATCTTTAGTTTTGATATGAGATTAGAAAATTTTACCTAATGTAATAGCTAAGAAGGCAACGAAAGCAAACCTCATTGGTTTTTTCTCCATTTTGAGTATTGGTGTATGATGTTTGCTTTAGCTATTGTGAAACTGTTTTTGAGGAATGGAGAAATGATATTAGTTTATGTAGACAGATTTGCTAAATCCACCTCAAATAGTAGAAAATCCACAAAAATATATAAAAATCTAAATATATAATTCATTTTTCTAAAAATATCTTGGTAAGAAGTTATACTAAAATTTGCTATAATGCTTAGTTTGGTCAAATGATTATCTTGGTAAGAAATAAACCAAAGTTTGCTAATATACATTTTTAGGGGTGTATTAAATCTAACATTTTTAATGATTTGAGTTTCATTAACTGTGATTTTAGGGAAATTGTTATGATATAGTAACTGTGATTTCCTTTTAATTTTTACTTAAAACCAGATAATTGGATATATGTATTTTTAATTAATGAAATTCTAAAAGCACTAACAATCAAATCCTCAAAATGTTTTGAAAAGCAGAAAATTATAAATTGAAATATCCAAATCACTTATTTTAATAACATTGGATGTCATTAAATTTTTAAAAAGTCATGATTGAATAACATATGATTATGATGTAAAAAAAAATATAACATATGATTATTAGTAGCTATTTTCACATAAATAACTTAAATTTTAGATTTAAGATTTGTGATTAAATTTTCATATGATTAAATTTAGATTCGTGGTATTTTTAGAAATTGTATTCTAGTGGTATTTTTGGAAAATAAATTTCATAATGATAATTTTGGAAAAAAATACCCATTTTAATGGTATCAGAAATTTATCATACATATGAAAACTTGCAACATACATAGTAACTGTTATCATTTGCCACCAACTTGACATAGTCTTCCATGATCGATCATTTCAGTTCAATACGAGCGCAAGCGAAATTAGAATACATAGATTTGCCCTTCGTCAGATTATCAATCACCACCAACTTGACGTTTCCACGAGTCTTCCACAATCAGTTCATCAACTCCCCATTCCTCAAAACTGATTCAGAATCACAACCAAGTCAACAATGAAAAGAACAAACCCGAAGCGCGATAAAGCGAATAATATATAAGCTTAAACATTCTGAAACTTTTGATATGACTAATGAACACAGTCTCACCTCCCATCAGGTAGATATCGTCTAATAGTGAATGGTATCTTCCTTTGCCTAAGCTCTTTCATAGCAATCTTAAAAGCCAAATCACAAATTAGCTTCAAATGTTCATACATATCTGACGAATAAAACATGTCAAGAAGAAGACAGCACCTCAAGTGGATCAGTCTCACCCTCCAACTCAACCATGACAGGAGCATTCATGCTGCATTAGCCAACAAAACAACATAAAGTATCAAACTTTCTCAGCCAACTACATAGTCAACGTTGAGACAAACTTAAAAGGGGATAGAAGCAGACCTAATCTGCAAAGCGCGAGTGCCGAGGATACGTGCACGTTCATACTTAGTCATAAACTTAGAAGTTTTACGAGGACGTTGTACAGGTTCTGTTTCAACTTTGTCTTCTGCTTCAATAGGTTCACCATTGACATCATCATTCTCCTTCATATCAGCATCTTCCTCTACTCCTTCCTACTCACACAAATTCTCCAATCAGATACAGAACAGAACCGTCTCTATAATACCAAATATCAAAAGTCTCTTCTACAAAAGAAGGAAGTGATCTTACTTCTATCTCAGGCTCCACTGGCTCATCCTCGTATCTGCAATTTGACAAATTTGAAATCACCAATGATGTCCCAAATGAACAAAAAGATTCAAATGAAGTCTCAAAAAACAGATCTTTCTCAATTCAATCGACAATGAAATTTAGGATTTTTCTATCTTCAAGCTATATCAATCTCATTGCTCTCAATCGTGTATGATTCGCCGAGAAGAAGATAGAATCTTTTGAAATCGATCACAAAGCGATAAACCCTAAAATTGATCACAAATCGATCAATACAGATATGGGAAGACGAGAGAGATAGAGAGGGATACCCCAAATCATCGGGTTCGTTGTAATCCTCGTCCGCCATTAAAGCCGATTTGAGAAATCGCTCTTCTCCTCTTCCACTTGATAAACCCTAACGATGGCAATGCATGAAGACGACGATCTAATGACGTTACCAGACCACATTGGTATATTCCGAGTAAGCCCATAGTTTCAAAGCCCAATTTAGGCCCATTAAGAGACTTGGTGTAATGTTGTTTAAATCCTTTTCTGTGTATATAAAACCAAAGTACATTATAAGGTTTACAAATCTTCCACAGCTCCATTGTGAACTCAATGCAAGTAAGACTCAGTTCTGTAATGTCTTTCTTGTGTTCCAATTAATAAACTTGAACATGATCACAAGATTATATCGTCTTGAACACTGACGTTAAGAGTTTTATTCTGAAGAACAATGCTTCCTATGACTGCAACTTCATCTTCCACAGTTACAGCCTCACCTGCACAAAACCAAATGAATCAGAAAGTGGAATAATTTTTTGAATGAACAAAAAAAAGCTTTAAAGAGATACAATGAAGTTACCAAGAATTGTAATCCCAAGCCTCTCATTGTAATCTCCACTAGCTTGAACTCTTGACCATCTACCTATAGATGATTTCCATCCGATGATTGAGTTTATGACAACAGCATTGTCCTGCATTTAACCAGATCAGAAAGATTTAAAAACAAATCTTGTGGATTTGTAACCAGAGGAACACTAAAAACACCAAATTTAAGTTACCTTGATTTCAACATCGTCCAAGATTATGCAGTTGATAAGCCTTGCACCAGGTCCAACACGAACGTTTGCTGAGATCGATACATTTGGACCGATCTTGTTCCAAGGAAATTTAAGTGGGTCATTTGCATTTTAAATACGACGTTTAACTAAAGTTCATGAGATAAGATAAAGGATTCACCTTTGCGGTTTGATGCAGTTTTGCGGATGGGTGAATATAAACATCACCGATTATCATCGGTCTCCTATTAGTACCATCTCCTGAAGCCAAAAGATGAGGCGATGTTTGGCGGAATTGGGAAAGATATAAAGCCGAGCATTTCAATGATTTCCTGTTTAAAAACAGCTTGTTAGCATAAGGAGTTTGATCCAAGATTGTTTCAAACAATTATTAGAACCAAAAACTAAATTCACCCAGGAGTCTTAATCTGTTCCCAGAAATCCTTATTCTCATATGTGTATAGTTGCTTCTTTCCAGCAAGAGGTGACAATATATCTTGATCTAATCTCACAAAATCCGCAGGAACAGACCTTGTAGCAGATTGATAGTTGCTAGCTGCCAAATTTAAAGTGATTATGCAATGAATAATTTGTGAAGTGACCAAAAGAATCATGTAAAATGATGAAGCAGATCTCTGATTGATAATAATGAGAGAGGGCAATAATGAATACTCACATGTGTCTCTTATTTGGCTATATACTCCTTCAATGGCATTGAAGATATCTGAGGTAAACACATAAACACCACAGTTTATCAAGTCACTGACCTGCATAGAATAGATAACAGGGAAAATTTATAAGATCAACAAATTTCAGTACCAGTGAAGGAAATAAAAATATAGTACAGTTTAGCAGATAATTACAAAAGTCTCAGGCTTCTCTGTATAATGCAGGAGTTCTTTAGTATCAGGATCAGCTATCAATTCTCCAAATTGGCTGGCTGCTTCTGCAGAAACCTGAAACGAAAAAGTGATATTCATGAATCCTTGATCTTTACATGTGTTTCCTTAGTGACATCTAAAAAACCGATCAGAGGAACGAACCTTAATTACTAGCATAGTTCCGATACCACCATATCTTCGATGTGCATCTATGAAAAGTAGCGAAGTTACATCAATGTAAGAATATGAAAACGATGAAGCAGATTTAAGATCTGAAAGTGAGATTACCGAGTATGCCCTGAAGAGGGAAAGAACAGCAAACATCACAGTTCAGGAGGAAAACATGTGACTGTTCAAGATAGGATGAGAGAAAAAAAAAGGGATATGAATCCAGGTAACATATAACTGAGTGAAGCAGGAACAAAAATTGGGAAGGTCATCAGAATTCAAACCGGTTTTTCTTCCATAATTCTATCACGAAAGTGATAAAGAGCACCGGCTGAGCCATGGGGCTTATCTTCTTTTAAGTATCTACATAACAACAACACACATAAGTCAAGAAGGTTTTACATTAGACACCAAAATCAAAAAACACAAGTGCTATAACTTACCGCACTGGAATTTTCAGCTCATTAGATATCGAAGAGACATACAAAGCGAATTCTCTTTCCTCGTAAAATCCAATCAGAAAGATCTGAGCCAGATTTGATATCTGTCCATGTCAAATACGAAAATCTGATATGAGGAATCAACAGTAGAAGTTGAGAAATTTTCCAAGTATTCTTTCAGGCTTAACCCATTATCCACAACTCGAATCTTACGATACCACATTGACAATGCAGCTGTGCTGAGGTTTCCAAAATTCTAAGAAACAAGGAGGTGCAACACATGGACACATTCATGTCTCAGACTATGAACTAATTGCAAATCTGAGCTTTTCAGTCTATATAAGAGCTATTCACAATTCCAAGATTCTAACTTTATGAACCCTTTACTAAACCATCTAAAATGCTGAGAACAAACGCTTGATTCATGGATCAAATAACAAAAAACAAACCTTTTTACAAGCAGAGATAGGATGATGAATCATAGGTTGACCAGCCAAAGGAATCAGTGGTTTCGGTGTATTGAACGATAAAGGACGAAACCGAGTTCCTAAATCCAACCCACATTAGCAAATCCAAAAATCAAATTTTGAGAAAAATAGAATTCGAGATCCACAAAAAGAAAAATGTTACCTTTCGTCGGACCACCAACCATGATCACAGAGACGACTTTCTCCTCCGACATGTCGATTCAGAAACCTAGATTCGTTTTTGTCTTCAAAGGTGGTATCTTTGTATTGTAGTCGTATGCTCTCAGGTTTTAGAACTAAAGAAACAGAGAAATGAGATTGTGATAGTCAAAAGAACGTCTCACGTCTTTATTACTATTCCCTTTTGTTTTATTTATTAAACCCAAAAGCCTAAAAACCCCAAAAACAGAGCATTAATACCGAAAATTCCCAAAATCTTCATCCCTGTAAAGTTCAGTCCTTTCTTCATAATGGGTTCGTTGAGACGGTGAAGTCTCTGGAAGATTTTGCTGGGGGAAGAAGTAATTAGGGGTTTCAGAGTGAAAAGATGGAAACTTTAGGTTCATCTGATTGCAATTTAGAGATTTTAGAAACTCTCTCAGAGGATGCGATTCAAGAGATTACTGAAAGCTACGATGGGTTTTTCACTACTGTGGAGTCTCTCATTGCCGGCACAGGAGATTCCTCAGTTGAAGATGAGTTTGTGTCTCATGTGTATTGTCTCTGCAAGTACGGGCTTGAGTCTCTTGTTCGTGACCATTTCCTCAGTTCACTCGAGGTATATTAGCTTGTACCTACTTAGGTAGCTGAGTAGATTGGTGTAGAGTAACAGCTATTGATTTTTGTGGTGACATTGGTTTTTGTTTCAGCAAGCTTTTGAGAAGGGAGGTGCATCGAGTTTTTGGCATCATTTTGATGCTTATAGTGAGAAGAAACTTACTGTAAGAACGCTTGGGTGATGCTTTGTTTGGTATTGAATATTTTGAAATTGACTTCTAGTTTTGACTAAAAATGGACGCTTTTGGGCAGAATTGTGGAGAGGAGATTCAGGTTGTGTTATGCAAGGCTTTGGAAGAGATATCTATTGAAAAAAAGTATCATGAGAAGTGTCTGTCCATGTTGGTTCATGCTTTGCAGTCGTTTAAAGAACAGTCATCAGAGGATAGACAGAACTCAGATACAGAGAGAGCTAATCTTTTTGTGAGATTCCAGTCAATGTTGTCTTCAACTTTGATGACTACTCTTCCTCAGCATTTTCCTGGTATGCCCATCTTTAGTAGCTTGTTATTTGATTTGCAATGTAGTTTGGATCCAAACCATTTATCAGTTTTAGCATCTGATTTGATTGTGTGGAAGCAGTTTTAGATACATTTCCGACTTGTTTTGACCAAGTTTAGTCATTACCCTCATATTTTTCCTGTCTTTATTATATTCTTAGAAATACTCCACTGGTATTTTAAGGAAAGGCTGGAAGAGTTAAGTGCAATCATGGATGGAGATGGTGAAGAGCGAGAGGATGATTGCATGGATTTGGACGAAAAGTTGAGATATAAAAATGGAGAAATGGATGTTGATGAAGGTTATGCCCAAGGGAAACGTTTGGGACATGACAAGTTGGTAAAGAACATTGGGAAAGTGGTCCGTGATCTTAGAAGCATTGGCTTTACATCTATGGCTGAAAATGCTTATGCTTCTGCCATCTTTTTGCTTCTTAAGGTATTTTTATGCATCAGAGATTTGTCTGCCTCACTGAGAGTTATAACTTGGTATAAGTAGTGAGTATACAAATAATTTGTACTCTTTTTCGCAATGCTATACTGCAGGCGAAAGTCCATGACCTGGCTGGTGATGATTACAGGACTTCTGTTTTGGAATCAATCAAAGAATGGATTCAGGTAGGTTTTGCTGGTGAGATTCTCACTGCACCATCAGATTAGTTTGGTAATTTTGAGATTCCTGATATTCTAATGTCTCTTTGCAGATAGTCCCTCTACAATTCCTTAATGCACTTCTTTCTTATCTTGGTGATTCTGTAAGTTATGGTTCTGCATCTTCTGACCTCACGTCCCCTCTGGCTTGTTGTCCATCTCCAAGCTTTTCCAGAGTGGTGACTCCTTCCGAAGGAATTGTTAGATGGAAATTACGGCTAGAATATTTTGCGTATGAGACACTGCAAGATTTAAGGATAGCCAAATTATTTGAGATCATTGTTGATTATCCTGAGAGGTATTTTCTTTTGTGATAGTACTTTTGTATTTCCCCACATATCTCACTGAAGACTCAATTCAAATATTGCAAAAAGTTGAATTATCTTGCATTTCTGATGGAAATTTTGTTGATGCAACAGTTCTCCTGCCATTGAAGACTTAAAACAGTGTCTTGAATATACTGGGCAGCATTCTAAGCTAGTTGAATCTTTTATTTCTTCGCTGAAATATCGTCTGCTCACTGCTGGTGCCTCAACCAATGATATATTGCATCAGTATGTATCCACTATCAAAGCCCTTAGAGCAATAGACCCAGCTGGTGTATTCCTGGAAGCAGTGGGTGAACCAATTAGAGACTATTTACGGGGGCGGAAAGACACCATTAAATGTATTGTTACTATGCTTACTGATGGAAGTGGAGGGAATGCAAATGGTTCTGGAAACCCTGGGGATAGTCTTCTTGAAGAATTAATGAGGGATGAAGAAAACCAAGAGAATGCCGGTTTTGACGATGATTTTCATACTGATGATAAGCAAGCCTGGATCAATGCTTCCCGGTATCCTTCCTGCTGTATATATTCTTGATTATCATCTTGCATCGCATTGGATATGTCTGACACATTTCTATGTGCTTTTTCCTCAGTTGGGAACCAGACCCTGTTGAGGCTGATCCTTTAAAAGGTAGCCTTAGTCAGAGGAAGGTAGACATACTTGGAATGCTTGTTGATATAATTGGATCAAAAGAGCAATTAGTAAATGAATATCGTGTTATGCTCGCGGAAAAGCTTCTTAACAAGACTGATTATGACATCGACACTGAGATACGCACTGTCGAACTTCTCAAGGCAAGCTCCATTTTGACACTCTTAAGTTCGACTATCTAAATTATTGGATTCCTTCTAAGTGTTGAATCTAACTTTACCTTCTCTTTTTATGCCAATAGATACATTTTGGAGAAGCCAGTATGCAAAGATGTGAGATCATGCTGAACGACTTAATTGATTCTAAGAGAGTCAACACCAACATTAAAAAGGCAACTCAAGCAGGTTGTTATATTTCTAAATTGTTGTATTTTTTACTCGTGCAAGGTAGATCCTTGTCTGATTCTTTTACTAAGTATATGTGCCATTGCTTGTGTTTAGGCGCCGAGTTAAAAGAGAATGAGTTATCTGTTGATACTCTTACCTCGACAATACTTTCAACAAACTTCTGGCCACCAATTCAGGTATTCATATGTTCTTCCCTCTGATTTTTCATCCATCTGCTCATACGTTATATACACACACATGAGGCGTATAGATTATTGTGATCGCTTCCATTTTCTGAATCAAAAGAGGTATTTCAGGATGAACCTCTAGAGCTACCAGGACCTATTGACAAACTGCTATCAGATTATGCCAATCGGTATCATGAAATCAAGACCCCTCGTAAACTACTTTGGAAGAAAAATCTTGGCACTGTCAAGGTACTTCTAGCATAAATACTTAAGTGAACGATTTGTGTTTTGGAGTATTGGGCTAATCAGATACTGACGTATGTACCCTCTCTGAAATGGCTTTAATGGATTCAGTTGGAGTTGCAATTTGAAGACAGAGCTATGCAGTTCACGGTCTCCCCCACACATGCAGCCATTATAATGCAATTTCAAGAAAAGAAAAGGTTAGATTTCAAGAATCAGTCAATACATACAGATATATCCTCTTCCAAATGTTTACTGAAATCACGTAATCTTTCAGTTGGACCTCTAAAGATCTTGCTGCAGCCATTGGGATACCCATTGATGCATTAACCCGAAGAGTCAACTTCTGGATAAGCAAGGTATATCAATGTAATTGTAGTCTCCTGCTTTAAACCACTTGTTTGGAGGAAAAGCTTAATTGCAAGTTTCCTGCACTTAGGGAGTCCTGAGAGAATCTACAGGAGCAAACTCGAATTCCAAAGTGTTAACGCTCGTTGAATCCATAGCTGATTCTGGAAAGAACGAAGGCGAGGAGCTTCTAACAGGCGATGAGGAGAGTGAAACATCGATTGCTTCTGTGGAAGATCAGCTTCGCAAAGAAATGACGATATATGAGGTATGTAAATATTTAGGAAACCTTTCCATTCTCCAGAAAAAATATAGAATCTAAAAATTTTTAACCATGTTTCAGAAATTCATCATGGGAATGCTCACAAATTTTGGTACCATGGCACTAGAACGAATCCATAACACTCTCAAGGTACAATCTCATATCAACAACCTCACTGATTTAACAACATTGTTGTTGTCTTGATCATTTGATCATTGCTCTGTCTTTTTTTTTTTTTGTTTCGTAGATGTTTTGTGTTGCTGATCCTTCTTATGACAAGTCCCTGCAACAGCTTCAGAGTTTTCTTTCTGGTTTGGTTTCCGAAGAGAAACTAGAGTTTAGAGACGGAATGTATTTGCTAAAAAAGTAGAACAACTCTTTTCATGTGTTAAGCTAGAACTAATTCTTTTTGTCTTTAATTTGTATCAAGATCCTTGTTCCTAAAAGAATTAGTGCTATGTAGTTGTTGTTACCTCAGGGATATGTAATGATATAAATAAGGGATTTGAAGAAATGATGTTCATTTTGGCTCGGTCAATGAAATATGATGTTATAGAAACTAAGTCAATGACAAGTTCATATTTGGAATTGCCATATAGAAAATTTGTGGTTTATATGGCCTAAATTTGAATGTTCGTGAATTAAATAATATTTTTTCGTAGTTATTTCTATAATTTGTTTGTTATATATATATAGTAAAAGATATGTAATATTTATTATTTTCAGTTTTTCCAAAAAAAAAAAAGTTTTTCAAATCATTAAATAATAGTTTACATGAATAATTAAAATTCTGTAATCAAATTACAAACCACAAAATTACATTAGTGAATATGAAGAAAAAAGAAAATTGCATAGAAATGTTTTGATTAAAAAAACAAAAAAGAAGATAAGAGAGATCCAAAGAGATAAGAATAAGTATTAAAAACGTTCAAAAACCCCTCATGTCTCTCGCCTCTCGGTGTGGCGTATGACATTTAAAGTTTCTTCCTTTCTTAAGTCATCTTTTGTCAGTTTCGTTTCAATCATTACACACAAACAAAAAAAAGTATGGAACTTCATCAAGTACGTCTTCTAGCTAGGATCTTCTTCTTCTTCATCTTCTTGACAACTCTACAACATTCTTGTTCTGCTCGGATTCTTACAACAATCTCCAAGCCTGATAGACATGACTACGCTGCTAGTGCTCGTTGGCTTGTCTCTCAGAACATCTGGGGTGTTCTTAGGTAAGATAAATATCGTCTCTTTAAGCTTGCCTTGTCTTGTTTCTCAAGTTCTTAGGGTGAAACAAGTATTGGGGAATTGAGCAGATTGAATCCAATTCTTGATATAGATTCTTGATAAAGATTGAATCTTTTTGAAATTGGAATTGATTAGGAATGTATTTTACACATAAAGTTTGTAGCTTTATAGTTGATTGATGATTTATATAGATGAGCGTTGTTGGGTTCTTGAGATTTGTTATGGGTTTGCTTCATCAAGTTTTGATCTTTTTGAAACTGGGATTGAATTTGGGGTTTTGATAAAGTCAGTTGTGGCAATCTTTGATATTAGTATGAAGAAACGTTGTTCTGCTATTGCTTTACTTCACTAAGTTTGAATCTTGATTGATGAATATATTGATGAACCTTGTTTGGTTCTTGAGTGGATTCACTTCATTGAGCTTTTGATGCTTTTGAAACTGAAATTGATTTGGGATTTGACACAAAGTCAAGTACTACAGTTACCTTGTTGGAAGAGATTGTTGGAAGAGTCTGTGTTGATGAATTGTTGCAATCTTGTTATCATTAAGGTATTGTGAGTGTAACAATTCTGGATTACTAATTCCTTTTAGGTGATTGTATTCTTCTTGCAGCACACTATCCATTGACCATGAAGGTGCTCCGTTCGGGTAATCTTGTTTTCAATGATTTTAATCACAATATTATGAAAGTAGTCTAAGTCTTCTCCAATAATCGATGTGCTTTTGTTAAAGTCATCGGTATAGCTTGACATTACTGAAATCTTGGTCTCTCGTTGCAGGAATGTTGTATCGTTTAGTGATGGTTTACCGGAGAAAGGCAGCGGTATACCTTACTTTTACTTAACAACTCTTGATCCAACTGCAAGAAACGCACTAAAAGACCAGAGAGCTTCACTTGCAATCAGTGAATCTCCCATTGGAACTTGTAAAAGTGATCCAATGAATCCTACTTGCTCTAAACTAACCCTTACCGGAAAGGTACCATACACATGACTGCAAAAAAGTCGAATTTTCTTACCAACATAACAAATCAAGCTTTAACATATGCTTTTGTCTTTATTTTGTAATCTCTCAGTTGCTGCTATTGGATGAAGGATCTAAAGAAGCAGAAGTAGCCAAAAAGGCTTTATTCACAAAGCATCCAGAGATGATGGGTAATCAAATCTTTCTCTCATCTCTAAGTTACAAACTGATGATAATTGTATGATTATCATGTGATGGTTATATCTGTTTTTTCTTTTTGCAGATTGGCCTAAGGATCATGATTTCCGCATCTTCAAACTCGAAATCACAAATATATTCCTCATAAACTGGTTTGGTGGAGCTAAACCTATCACAGTAGATGAATACCTTCACGCTAAGTCGTAAGTAACAATGCGTGAACCTTTTAAAAACATCGGTAATCTCTGAGAAACCGAATCGAACTACGAAATTTCGAATTATACTATCTTTTTCTTTTCGCATTTGATCTCATAGTTCTTCTAAACTGTTTTCAGGATCAAAGTCATTTCCTCCTTATAATAAAAACTTACCGGAATATAGCAAATGGTGAAGCAAGAAAAGTTGTATATTAATGTGTGTTTGTAATTTGGTTACAAAAGATATATCAAAAGCTTTGTAAATTACCTCATACACACCAAGTTCAAAGGTATCCAAATCTTCTGCTATGGAAAAACGTTGGTAAATGTACATTTTGTAGTTCATGATTTAAGAATTGGTGATAAGGTTATGACACAAAACTGAGAAAAACCGAACCAAATCATAAGCCATGACAATTGAGAGATTTAAACCGATGCTCGAATTCCGGTTATTTCTGATTTTGAGGACAAACGCTTCAAGTAGTTTATTCAATTGAACCAAATTGGAGTCCAACTGGTAAGCAAACCAGTATAATGCAATTGAACCAAACTAAATTCATCAGCTCGAAACAAAACCAAACTCGGTTTATCTCACTGAACCGAAATCAAACTCGGTATTTTTGTTTGTTATCTGAACTTAATTTAACCGAAACTTTAATTGAATCCACCATATAGAAAGAAAAAAAAAAACTCAAGCATTAACCGATTCGATTATCGAATCCCGGTTATTTCCGGTTTGAAGATAAGCTTTGAGAGAGTCTCCTCTGTGTTGAGTGGCGAGCATTGGTTTCTGGAAATTGAACACAAAAATATCTGAAAAAATTCGATTTTTAAGCAGTTAAGCTGATATCTGATAGATACAATCATACAAATCCACAATTCAAGAACACTCGGCACTAAAACCTTCGTCGATCTTCAAATACCCAAAAACAAAAAGCTCCATGAATCTTCAAGCTGTTTCTTGTAGCTTCGGATTCGTTTCGAGTCCACTTGGCGTCACTCCAAGAACTTCGTTTCGTCGCTTCGTAATCCGAGCGAAAAGTAAGAGTCTTTCTTCAATCCCTAGATCTTTTGTTTCTTCGGAGTGATTGAATTCGAAGTTTCAATCTTTTTTGCAGCGGAGCCGTCGGAGAAATCTATAGAGATCATGAGAAAATTCTCCGAGCAATATGCTCGTCGCTCTGGGACTTACTTCTGTGTTGATAAAGGTGTTACTTCTGTAGTCATTAAGGTATAACATTTATTGGGTTTCTTCTTGATTTCTCAATTCGTAGCTAATTTTGTGTTGAATCGAGTCTTTGTGAACGATCTTGTGATTGAGGTGGCTGAGTCTTTCTATTTGTATGTAAACATGCTGAGATTTAATGCTTAAATCTGTGAGTTTGTTTTGTGGGAGCAGGGTTTTGTTTTTCTTGATTTCAATTCTTAGCTAATTTTGTGTTGAATCGAGTGTTTGTGAATGATCTTGAGATTGAGGTAGCTGAGTCGTTTTATTTGTAGAGGATGAGTTTATAAAAGAGATTGGAGTTAATATGTATGTGAACATGTTGAGATTTAGTGTTAAGTGTGTGAATTTGTGTTTTTGTGGGAGCAGGGGTTAGCTGAGCATAAAGATTCGTATGGAGCACCGCTTTGTCCTTGCAGGTGAGCTTTTGATTCTTATGGGTGATTGTTATTTTAAGGGTATTTGGAATGTTTGTGATGATACAGTGGTGAGGATTACGAAAGTTTGAGACTTTTGTTGTTGATGCAGACATTATGATGATAAAGCTGCTGAGGTTGGACAGGGCTTTTGGAATTGTCCTTGTGTTCCAATGAGAGAGAGGTAAGGACTAAGGACTATCTTCATATATCTTCATGTGGGCTGTATTAGCATTATGTTTGTTTGTGTCTGTGTATGTTATGTGTTTAGAACTGAGCATTTTAGGTTCTTTGGGAAGTATTGATCTGGTATATGCTAAAAGGTATCGATTTGTCTTGAACTTGGTTGTGGACCTTGTGGTTATTAGAGGGATAGTATTTATCAGCACACTTTCCATAGAGGTTACAGATGCTCCTTAGTTGAATCAAGATTGATTTGCTAGGCAACCTGAAGTTGATTCACTCTAGTAGTTTGCAACAATTGCAAAACCTATTAAGAAAAAAGACTTATGCTCTCTTGTTATCTCTTGGCCTATGTGGTACACCACAATTTAAGATCCTTAGTGTTTTAATTAGACTTGGCATCGGTTATCGATTGATTCTGATAATAATTGTGTACCTTCTGTATCATTTGGTGATCAGGAAGGAGTGCCATTGTATGCTTTTCTTAACTCCTGATAACGATTTCGCCGGAAAGGATCAGGTTAAATCTCAGATCAATATGCTATACCTAGAATGCGGGTTTCATTGAATATGGGAGATCTAATTCTTTGCTCTTCTTGGTTTTGTGCAGACGATTACATCAGATGAAATAAAAGAGACAACAGCTAACATGTGAGAGAACTGGCTCTTGTGTTCTCGTCATCCTCTGTTCTTTTAGGTTAAAAGAGATATATCTTTCTCCAAATGCAGTCTGTACATTGATACCCCGACCATCTTCTTCCTTCTTGTGTACAACTATTTCACTCTCAGATATATACACTTCCGTATTCGATCTTTTTGTTTGCAAAACTATTACAAGCAATATAAAAAGGATCTAACTTTTACACGAAAGTCTTCAAATAAGTTGTGTTGGCTTAAAAGCATCTAAGCAATGTGAAAAACAGCAAAAAAAGCACTTGAAACACTAAAACTCTTTATATCACAATATCACAAAAACTTGTCTTAGGTTTAAAGCAACAATTTAAGAACCAACAAGCATGCTTGAAAGGTATTGGAGACGACGAAGCACCAAGAGGTTGATACACTTGGGCCAAGGTCTTGGTTTCTATATGGTAGATCTCGAATACCCTTCTTAGCATGGAGTGTCCTACTTGTATCGTATCTATAATCATTAGGCTCGTCAATTGTATTAACATAGATACAATTTTTCAGAACTCCATCTTTGGCTGCAACAGTTATTCCTAAACCCAAAATCAGTGCTTCATCCCCTATAGAACTGGTTCTTATCCAGTTTAATGATTCAAAGATTCGAAACTTGTAAATTCCACTGCACCACGGGAGAAATCAAACATTGTGACTCGAGTATCACTAAGCATGTAAAGCTTGCGTTCTCTATACACCATATCAATGCATTCTTGATACATTAAAGGTTGAATTAGTTTCCAGCTAGTGTTGTCATCTCCTTTCTTGTAATATGCAAAAAAGCCATCAAAGTTACATATGAAACTTTCCTTCGAGAAGCTTTGTCTTGGTCATTAAGAGTCACCCAAAATGTAGTATCACTCATTCTCACAAAATCCATAAATGGACTCCAAAGACGGAAGATGAATCTTCTCTCGAGTAAACAGATTCAAAAGGTGAAAATCGTATCTATGGTCTTACATAAGAAACCAACGACTCGTAGCCATATCAAACCCTAGATCTCTTACAGTGTAAGAACTATTGTCACGAGGATCCAACAACTTACATGATGATGATGAATCATTGTTTTTGCTGTCTGGATTTGGAAAGAGGATGATCCATGGAGTTGTTACGCTAATGCAAGATTTAGAAGCGTAGTACCAAGATTGATATTATTAGGTCTAGGTTAAGTCTCGGACGATGCTTTCATGAATCGTCGTTATCGTTGCCTGTCTTTACTAAGGTATCGTTCATCTAGGGTTTGTGTTTGGCTTCTTCGAATAATCAGAGTTTCGTTACTGTAACTTGTTTTGTAATAATTGAGATTAATGCAGATGAGAAAATAACCGGAGTAAACCGGTGGTTGACTAGGTGAAAAAGAGAGGTGTTTTTTATTTTGGGTTAGTCAAGTCTTGAGATCTGTTTCATGGGCTTATAATATAAACCCAACTGATATCTTTGTGACTTAAAAGAAATATAAAGATAGGTTTGAGAAGTTAACCTAACTCACATTTGTAGATCTAGAACAATGACGAATATGAGCAATCTTCCAAGAAAAATAGCAGAAGAGATCCTCTCAAGGGTTCCGGTGAAATGTCTTAGAGCAGTTCGATTAACTTGTAAAAAATGGAACACTCTATCCAAAGATATGAGATTCATAACGAAGCACGTTGATCGAGCAAAACAAGAAGCAGCAAAGAAAAAGGAGTTTATGCTGATCATGATGATAAATTTTAGGGTTTATTTGATGCACGTCAATGTCCACAACAACGTTGGACCATGTATGAGGTGTGAAGGTAAATTTACTAGCCTAGATGAATTAGTTGATATAAATAGAGTTTTCCTTAGTGATGGTTTGTTGTTAAGCATAAGCAAAGACTGCACCAAGCTCATGGCTTGGAACCCTTATAGCGGAAAGAGTCGTTGGATCGAGTTTGAGTCTAGTCCTGACCTAATGGAGATATATATGTATGCTCTCGGATATGAGAAGAGCAACGATTCATGCAACAGTTACAAAATCTTGAGGTTTGTTGAGAATCGCAGTTGCTTCGAGTACAAAATCTATGACTTTAACTATGATTCTTGGAGGGTTCTTGATATCAGTCTATATGACAAGATTTACAAGATAGCTCATCATAAACGTGGCGTCTCTCTCAAGGGAAATACATATTGGTTTGGTAAATCAAGATATGGATCAGATGTTTTCCTAGTATGTTTTGATTTCACAAGCGAGAGCTTTGGGCCGCCTTTGTCTCTGCCATTTGAATATTCTAGTGCTTCAAGTGTTTTGAGTTTATCTAGAGTTAGAGAAGAGCAGCTTGCGGTTATGCTTCTTCGATTTGGCGAATTCACGATGGATATATGGATTACAACTAGGATTGAGCCAAGCGCGGTTTCGTGGAACAGTGAAGTCTTCTTAGCAGTGAATTTGAGACAAGTCCCTTTCAATGGCATTCGTTTTGAAGGTGCGAGTTTCTTCATTGATGAGGAGGAGAGCTTTGTAGTGGTTTTTGATAACAACAGCATAGCTTACATTGTTGGAGTGGATGGAACTATCAAGAAAGAGTATTTCAAATTATCTAAAAGACTTTGTTGTCCAATTGCGTGCTCTTATGTTCCAAGTTTAGTGCTTTAATTAGTTGATCCATTTGATATTTTGTAATCTTGGGATATGAGGAGTATGTTATAAGCTGAACTCATTTTTTAAGAATGAGATAGATTTCTCGTATTTTTTATACACTGAAATTTGGGTTTAGGATTTGGAAGATCAACCAAACCATTGGTGTGTGTACGTACGTATACCTCGATGCTTGTGGTCTTAAAGACGTGATTATACAAAAAAAAAATATAACAAGCCTTATTGTTATGCGTGACATGGGACAATACTGCTAGCCCCGTGGTTTAGATCACTCGATCGTACGTATTTGGACCAATCCAGGAAACACTTACCAAAGAGTCACAGAGATTTGATAGATATGCTCTCGGACACGACAACCATTTGAACCGTAACCAAAAAAATCTTAAGGTATTGATGTCACTACGACGACCTTAGTGATAAGAACCCAATGGTTAGATAAACGTTAGACACGGGTATGTTATTGTCAATTGTGTTAATATATTTTTGGGATATTTAATCTATTTAGTAGCTATATATTGATATAGTATAAAACATTATTATAATGTTTTATATATTTTTTTTAAAACATATTATTAATATTTTTTTGTATCATTTATGTTATTTACAAGCAGAAATTAATAAGAATACAATCTTATATGAATAATGGTAATTGAAATATTATATTTTACATATTAGACTGTTAGTGTTGGTATTATATCTAACAAACCTAAAAAAAAATCAGTTAAATTATTATTATTGCAAACATTTTATCTAGAGCACACTATATATTTAGAAAATATTATTTAAAATATACCTAAATTAATAATATTGATTATTCTACTGATCAATTTGGTTGATAAATAAAAATATAATTAATTATCATTTTGTTAAAGAATAATATAATTTAAATTACTCTTTCTTTATTTTTTATAATTATCGTAAACATGTAAACTTTAAAAATATAAAATAAATCCTTATTTAAAAACTTTGTGATAAGTATTTCTCACAGTAAAAATATTAGAAACAAAGATAATCAATAACAAAAGAGAATTATTACTTTTTTGGTGAAATTGAAACCTAAATCACAAAAACGAAGTTTAGAATTAGCAAAAAAAAAAAACAAAAAAAACAAAAAAAACGTAAATGGGTTTGATAGACATCAACTTCACTAGTCTTGCGATCTGTTTTATAATTTCATGGGCTTATTATACCCAAATGATATTTTTTGTGCCTTAAAAGAAAAAAAGGAAGATTGGTTCTAGATGATGTTAACCTAACTAATATGCGTTACTTGTTCGAGATCTAGTATCAAATAATAACGAGTATGAGCAATCTTCCAAGGGAAATATCAGAAGAGATCCTCTCTAGGGTTCCAGTGAAATCTCTTAGAGCAGTTCGAATCACTTGCAAAACCTGGAACACTCTGTCCAAAGATGTAACATTCATTACGAAGCACGTTGGTCGAGCCAAAGAAGAAGCAGCAAAGAAAAAGGAGATCATGGTGATCATGATGATGAATTTTAGGGTTTATTTGATGCACATCAACCTCCACAACGACGCTGAACCATGTATAAAGCGTGAAGGTAAATTTATTACCCTAGATGATTCAGATCACGTCGATCTATATAGAGTCTTCCACAGCGGTGGTTTATTGTTAAGCATCAGCATAGACTCCACCAAACTCGTGGCTTGGAACCCTTATAGCGGACAAAGTCGTTGGATCAAGATTGAGTCTAGTCCTGACCTAATAGAGATATATAAGTATGCTCTTGGATACGAGAAGAGCAACAACTCGTGCCACAACCACAACCACAAAATCTTGAGGTTTGTTGATTACCTTCTAGTTTCCGAGTACAAAATCTATGACTTTAACTCTGATTCTTGGAGGGTTCTTGATATCACTCCATATAAAAAGAATTATAGTGTACCTAATCTTAGAAATGGCGTCTCTATCAAGGGAAATACATATTGGTATGGTGAATCAAGACCTAGATCAGATGTTTTCCTAGTCTGTTTTGATTTCACAAGAGAGAGGTTTGGGTTGTCTTTGTCTCTGCCATTTGAATATTTTTCCAATGTTTCAAGTATTGTGACTCTATCTAGTATTAGAGAAGAGCAGCTTGCGGTTATGTTTATACGATATGACACATTCACGATGGAGATATGGATTACAAATATGATTGAGCCAAGCGCGGTGTCTTGGAACAGTAAAGTCTTCTTAGCAGTGGATTTGAGACTAGCCACTTTCTATTGCTTTTGTTTTGAGGGAGCGAGTTTCTTCATTGATGAGGAGAAGAACTTTGCAGTGGTTCTGGATAACAACAACGTAGCTTACATTGTTGGAGTGGATGGAACCTTGAGAAAAGAGCATTTCAGATTATCTGAAGAACTTTGTGATACACATGCGTGCTCTTATGTTCCAAGTTTAGTACAACTTTAGTTGATTCATTTTATAAAACAACCTATAATCTTATTTCTTGAATAAGTTGAGAAGCTTTTATTTGGAATGAATAGTTTTTATTGTTTCTCTTCTGCTTTTCTTTTGGTGGAGCAACTAAGTAAGGGTTGTTTTGATCTTCCAAATCCTATCTTTTGATTAACGTATAAAGAAACTACCTTTAAAAGTGTCAGCAATGTATGTCATTCTTAAACAATGAGTTCGGACTTAAAAACTATTTATCTAGTGGAGGTTTTGTGCTTCTGGCCATGCTTGTAAAGAGTCATCCTCTGAGGATATGTTGTTGCCTTGTTGGTATGATTTGTCTACTAGAAGAATGGAATTAATCTTTCTTATCACGAGGGTCTTCATAAGAAACATACCAAGCTTGGTCATGCTAAAATCAGACAACCACTTAGTACTTTGTAATTAGAAATCCCATCAAATCTACTACAATTTACAATCTAGATAACACAACATGTTTTTGAATCAGAAGAAGTCTCCTACTTTAAAATCACAAACTTGGTTAAAGAAAGTGGCTCAATAAAACATCTCCATTTATTTTGTTAAAATAATATTGTACGAAATAAAACATTCTAATTCCTTGCATAACCACCAGTAACAGTGTCATATGGGTTCGAAGTCACTATCTTCTGGACCACTATATTCTCCGATGAGAAATAAGATCACATACTAAAGCTCAAGCCAAGTACATGGTAGTGTGGGAAGTTCTAGTATCGTATAGGAACATACAGTGCAGTCAATCTATTTAGGAAAACAATGAAAGTTTACCTTCTTCCTCCTCTTCATAGTCCTCTCTATTTACTACATGTAGTCACGAGTACCAAATCATAGTCCTCTCTATGTCCCATTACATGTTTAGTACTACAGTGCTTAAATATGAATAAAGGCATATCAACTTAAAAATAGGGGTCGTTAAGCACCATTTTAAATAGTTGTAACTTGTTTTGTAATAATTGAATTCGATGGAGATGAGAAAATAACCGGGATAACCCGGTGTCAACAATTTGAAAAGTTTGAAAAGTTTGAGAAAATAACCGGGATAACTTGTTTTAAATAGATATTTTTCTAATTTGAAAAGTTTTTCAAAAATATATTTAAAAATAAACGCTAACAAAAAATAATGTGTCTATATATACATATATTTTGAAAATTTTACCTAATTATTAATTTATAATATCGATGAGACTATATATTTACAAAAGATTTTCAAAAAAAATATTATCTTATTATTTTATAAAAATATGTCTAAAATTACATTGGTCTCAACTTGGGACCGGAGAAATTTATTAATTTATAAAGTGTATTAATTTATCAAGTATTAATTTATAGAGGTTACATTGTAGGTGAAAATTGAAAAGAGATGTGGATATAATTTTAGAGGTGAGTACTACACTGATCTTATATAATTTTTTGAGAATTTTTGAGAAATGCCCTTGTTGGTGTACCTTTTTTTTAAAATACCCTAATTTTTTTTTAAATTATTTTTTACCCTTTTTATTATTTTTTCAAAAAAACAGTTTTCCCTACATCTTTCTTTATTTTCTCTAACATATTTCTTTAGAAATCTAAGAAATTATTCTTATTCTTTATTTTGGATTAAAATGTCTTTTTATTATGGTTAATTTACTTTCAAGAATTTAAGATTGTTGTTAATGATAAAAAAAAAATCTTTTAATGTTTTCAATGAAATATCCAAGATGTGTGAATGCACAGTTTTCTTTAAATATTTTGGAAAAAATAGTAATTTATGAACATATATATATATATATATATATATGTATATATATGTCAAATTATTAGGTGACACACTGACACATAACAAGCTATTGTATAATGTTTTTTGAGGAACCCTTCTTTGTCAAGATACCTAATTGATATTTTTGTGCCCTTAAAAGAAAAAGGAAAAAAAAAGATATGTAGGGTTTGGAAGTTAACCTAATTCATGTGCGTGACTTCTTCAAGATCTAGAGTATAAACAATGACGAGTAGTATATGCAATCTTCCAAGAGATTTGGCAGAAGAGATCCTCTCTAGGGTTCCGGTGAAATCTCTTAAAGCAGTACGATTCACTTGCAAAAGGTGGAACACTCTATCCAAAGATGTGAGCTTCATAAAGAAGTACGTTGGTCAAGCTAAAGAAGAAGCAGCAAAGAAAAAGGAGTTTATGGTAATCAAGCCGATGGATTTTAGGGTTTATTTATTGCACGTCACCCTCCACAACGACGATAAGTCATTTATAAGGTGTGAAGCTAAATTTACTAGCCAAGATGATTCAGATCAAGTCGATCTATATAGAGTCTTCCACAGTGATGGTTTGTTGTTAAGCATCAGCAAAGACTGCACCAAGCTTGTGGCCTGGAACCCTTATAGCAGAAATAGTCGTTGGATCGAGTTTGAGTCTAGTCCCGACCTAATGGACGTATATATGTATGCTTTCGGATACGAGAAGAGCAACAACTCGTGCCACAACTACAAAATCTTGCGGTTTGTTGAGGATTATTGTGGCTTCGAGTGTAAAATTTATGACTTTAACTCTGATTCTTGGAGGGTTCTTGATATCACTCCATATGAGGAGATTTATATAGATTATCATAGACGTGGTGGCGTGTCTCTCAAGGGAAATACATATTTGTTGTGTCAATCAGTACTAAGCTCACATGTTGACCTAGTCTGTTTTGATTTCACAAGAAAGAAGTTTTGGCTGCCTTTGTCTCTGCCATTTGAATATTCTAATCTTCCAAGTGCTTTGACTCTTTCTAGTGTTAGAGAAGAGCAGCTTCCGGTTATGCTTCTGCGATTTGACACATTCACGATGGAGATATGGATTACAACTAGGATTGAGCCAAGCGCGGTGTCGTGGAACAGTAAAGTCTTCTTAGCAGTGAATTTGATACAACTCACTTTCTATTACTTTTGTTTTGAGGGTACGAGTTTCTTCATTGATGAGGAGAAGAACTTTGCAGTGGTTTTCGATAACAAGAATGTAGCTTACATTTTTGGAGTGGATGGAACCTTGAAAAAAGAGCATTTCGGATTATCTAAAAAACTTTGTTATACACATGCGTGCTCTTATGTTCCAAGTTTAGTACAACTTTAGTTGATCCATTTTACAATACCTATAATCTAGAATAATTCGAGAATTAAGCTTTTTTACAATGATTATTATCCCAAACCATTAGTGTACAAACGTCGATGCTTGTGGTCTTCAAGGCTTGATTATACGAAAAACAAATACAACAAGCCTTATTGTTATGCGTCACATAGGACAACACTAGCTAGCTTCGTGGTTTAGAACTCGTACGCTTGTTTATGTCAAAACTTAAAACTATGTTGATGACTTAGGTTGTAGTTAAAGTCTTGTTTTGGTATTCCTTTTGGATTATATGTCTTCTGCTCCGGATAAGTAATCGAAGATGAATGATCTGTTAGAAATACAATTACTGGTATTAGAACTCGTACGGATTTGGACCAATCCAGGTGGATTTATCCAAGAAACACTTAACATAGAGAGACTAGAACTCGTACAATTGCTCTCGGATACGACAACCATTTCAACTGTAACCACAAAATCTTGAGACATTTATGTCACTACGATCGACAACGTTTATGAATGAGTTTGGTCTTTATTATTTTATATAGTTAGATAGACTAATTATTTTTAATTCATAGAAAAACAAGATTTGTTCTTGTCTTCTTCTTTACAAGAGAAGAGACAAAAGGTCTCTTAACCTATTTGGGAGTCTAATAATTACAACAGCCATCATCTAGCTGGGAGCTGGTACCATATCTTCCACCAGCATCACCTCGAGGAGAACGCGAATCTCCGATCGTGATCCCTAGTGACTGTAAAAATCATGATCCAATGAATTTTAAATCACATTGGCTGGCTTAGTCTGATATGAACAAGAAGGAAAAAAGAAAGGAAGAAGAAGAACGACCTCGTTCGATAAATCAAAATCGCCGTTCTGAATTTTCTCGAGGATATTTTCAGCAGTCTTTATGAAAGCCTGTTGGCCATATATGCGAACAAGCGATACTAATAAGTAATTAAGTAGGCAAATATGTATAAATATATCTTAGATGTTTTGTAAAGAAGTAATCACCTCGTCAACGTTTTGAGATGTTCGTGCAGACGTTTCCAAAAACAATAGACCATGTTGTTTAGCAAACTCTTCTCCTTCCTCTTTGCTAATAGCTCTCTTGCGAACAAGATCGCATTTGTTTCCAATTAGAATAATACTCATGTTTTGAGTCACTTGTTGCTGAACATCTTCCAACCAACTTGCTACATGTTTAAACGTCTCTCTTCTGCCAATCATCAATTTTGTAAAAACATTGAGTTTCATTTTTCCAAAAGTACATCGACAATGTCATAGCTAGCGAAGTAACTCTCAAATGCGTTACTGTTAAGAAAACATGTCAAATTTCGACAATATCATAGATAGCGAAGTAATCTCAAATGCGTGACAGTTAAGAAAACATGTCAATTTTCGACGGAATTTGCAAAAAAATGTATATCTTATTACTAAAATTAACTCGAATGTTACATACGGACATCAGCCTTATTATGTAAATGTGCAAGCTACAATATAATGTATACAAGAAAAAAGAATGTATCTGAACCTGGTGATGTCGTAAACAAGTAACGCGCCCACGGCTCTTCTATAAAATGATCTTGTGATGGATCTAAAAGTCTCTTGTCCAGCCTAGCAAAACATCAGAAACTTGTTTAAATCATAAACAACAACAAATCCAACTTTTACCCTAAAAGCTACAAAGACCAAACATAACAACAACTCTAACTAATACTATCTGTTTACATAACCTTAAGAAACAGTTTGTTAAACACAAACAAAGAATGGTTACTAGATATCATCCAAAACTGAACCAATAGTATCGAGATAAAGGCGAGACGCGAGAGCCGTACGTACGTACCGTGTCCCAAATATGAAATTTTATGGACCGACCATCGACGGTGACCACTCTATTACCAAACTCAGCACCAATGGTAAGATTGTGGACAGGTTTGAATCTCTTGTCGGTAAATTGAAGAAGCAGACACGTTTTTCCCACACCTGAACCACGAAAATAGCTAGGTTAAACAAAGAATATATACATACTTGGAGAAGAAGGTATATGATCGACCTGTGTCTCCGATGATTAGGTATTTGAATAGGTAATCGTATGACATGGTTGATCTATTGGAATTAGATATAATAGGTGATAAAGGTTTTGGAAGTTTTAATCCTCAATATATACTCCGTCTGTTCCAAACTATAAGAGGTTTTAGCTAAAAGCACAAAAATTAAGAAAATTGTTTAAAGTAAATAAATATCATTTAATTATTAACTAAAAATAAAATTTAACCAATTATTAAAATAAAAATACTGCAGAATTTAAAGAGTCAAATTAGTGTCTTATATTATGGAAAATAGGGAATATAAATTAGTGTCTATAAGTAAATATGTGTCCAAGATTTTTTTTTGAATAAAAACATTAAATATCTCACAAAAACATAATATATATTTTATCATTAAAAATAACAAAAATATATTAAATTTGGAAAAATTTAGTTCTACAAATCCTTTACTGGAATTTTTGAGAGGTCACATTGGTTTAAAATAAAATTTGGAATTTAAAGCTATGCGGATATGATTGAAATTTTATCAAAGTAAGAAGATAAATTTGTGTGGGATATATTGTAGTTTTATTTACAAAAGTATAATATATTTGATTTTGACTAGGTTAATACTTGCATATAAAGCCTTTGAAGCTCTTACATATTGATTCGATCGAATGGGCTGTGGAGTATATGGTTCTAAAAGTAAGGTGAAAACTTTCTTTGAGGATGATGATGATGCCTAGTTTTCTTTGTTTTACTGAAACGATTTCATCGGTCTATTAAATTGTTTTGTCTTTGGTGTAAACCCAAACAAGACATGAGCGTGATGGCAAAGAAGATTGCGGCGAGTGACTGTGATTGTGTTGTTACCTCTTTCGTTTGGTTGGAAATGAAAATTCTACATCTATGAAAAGGAAAAGTATAATTACTAATCGACAAAGATGCGCAAGACAGTTCCAACATATCATATTGAGTTTCAAAAGACAAGTGCCTTGAAACCAGACTTCTCATTCTTTTGGAGGGGTCAAACACACCACTGCCCAACCAAAAACTACTCGGTAGATCCTAGCTTTTCAATTAAGAGTACACATTTTATTGAATAAGAATAAGAGCATTAAGTTTCTTTTAACCTCTCTTGAGTATCGGCTATTTCTTGAATCAATGATTTTCAAATTTCGTTTTTTTGTTCAACTAGATAACCTCTTTGTTCGATCATTCACGAAAAATCAACAAGCACAAGCTGGTTCTATCATAGTTTGTAAAACAACTCCAAAAGAAAAATTAGATCATTTCTCAGTTTATACTAATCTTCTCTGTATTGTTCCAATTTATCAGATTTTTGCATAGGTGACAATTTATAAGTCTTAACGATGTATAAACCTTCAACTTACTTCCAAGGTTATCAATGTCGGACAAAAGAGATATTTGAACTTAAACTTAAAAGCTTATAAGAGACAACACAAAGACAAAACAAGTTAACACAATGACGTCAGAGTTTACGTAAGACCTTTGGACTGATCAAGAAGCTCTCCTTTAATCAGAAAAAAAATCGTTAAATCGTTAAAAATCTCAAATCCGCCATGGAAACAAAACAGTAGTTCTTCTCATCCAGACATCCACCACCACTTCCGTTAGGGTTTATGTTCCAAATCCCAAAATGTCCTCATCATGGACACTTGAATCCGACCTAGAAGATCTCGACCTCGACCTCCAAGATTACAAACCATCCGTACCCTTAAAGAAAACACCAAACGGCGACGTTTTCGAAGCCTCACGTGCCGGTGACGTCGATAGACTCCGTTACCTTCTTGAAACCGGAGTTAACGTCAACGCACGTGACCGATGGGACTCTGTTGCTCTCTACTACGCTTGTCTCGCTGGTCACATAGATGCTGCGAGATTGCTTCTAGAGAACGGTGCGATTTGCTCTGAACATACTTTTGATGGTGATCGTTGTCACTATGCGTCTCTTAATTTGAGGATTCGTAAGCTTCTTAAGGCTTTTGAAGCTCGTCCTCCTCCTCTTGGTCCTTTGCAAGGTTCACTTAGAGAAACGTTTTTGGGATGTTGTCATAATCGAGATTATCTGAAACAAGCTTCTATTGCTAATCTTGATGTTTCTGGTATGGTTCTAAAAGCTCATTAAATTCTCTATTTTGTGGCTATGGACTTGATTTGGGTGGTTTCATGATACTCACTGTCCAATTGTTATGAAAGTTGAGTTATTTGAATCCAGTATTTATGAAAGTTGAGTTCTTTGAATCCAATTGTTATGAAAGTTGAGTTCTTTGAGTCCAATTGTTATGAAAATTGAGTTCTTTGAATCCAATTGTTTTGAAAGTTGAGTTCTTTGAATCCAATTGTTTTGAAAGTTGAGTTCTTTGAATCCAATTGTTTTGAAAGTTGAGTTCTTTGAATCCAATTGTTTTGAAAGTTGAGTTCTTTGAATCCAATTGTTATGAAAGTTGAGTTCTTTGAGTCCAATTGTTATGAAAATTGAGTTCTTTGAATCCAGTTGTTATGAAAGTTTAGTTCTTTTGAATTCAGTTTTTATGGAAAAGTTGAGTTCTTTGAATCCAATTGTTATGAAAGTTGAGTTCTTTGAATCCAATTTTTATGAAAGTTGCGTTCTTTGAGTTCAGTTTTTTATGGAAAAGTTGAGTTCTTGAACTATTTTAATATGCAGAGATGTTTACTGAGGTTTAGTTGAGTTTACCATTTTATTCAAAATCCAATTTTTATAGAAGTTGAAGTCTTTGAATCCAAAGTTTAGGAAAGTTGCGTTCTTGAATAGTTTCAATATGTAAAGATGTGAAAATTGAGCTCTCGATCTGTTTCAATATGCAGAGATGTTTACTGAGGTTAGTTGAGTTTACCATTTTACTCAAAATACAATTTTTATAAAAGTTGAAGTTTTAAATCGAATGTTTAGGACAGTTGCGTTCTTGAATCGTTTCAATGTGTAGAGATGTGTGCTGAGATAGTTAGCTAGACTTGTAATCTACTTTTTCTAGGAAAGTTGAGTTCTTGAATCAGTCTTGTGTCTGTTGGTATGTGGTGTAGAGACTGAATTTTTGCAATCTCAGTTTCAGTAGATTCTCCGAGTGAGTTTGGTAGTTCCAATTACTTCCCACCGGATGTGATGTTCTTTGTGCAAGGTAGACCTATTGAAGCTCACAGGGTTATCTTAAGTGCTCGGTCTCCGTTTTTCAAGCAAAAGTTTGAGAATGAATGGAAAGACCGGAGAGAAGTTCGATTTTCGAAAGAGAAGCTTTCGTATCCTGCTCTTTGTAGCCTTATCCACTTCTTTTACTCAGATAGGCTGGAGATATCGGTTGATGATATGGAAGACCTTGTTAGGATCTGCAAAGTTTGTAAATGTGAATCACTGCAGAAAATTATTGAGAAGGAACTGATACACCAAAGATATGCTGAGTACAAAACGCATAGAGATCTTGATAACTCCATGAAACGGTTCATCTTACAGGGCATATCACTTCCAGAGGAAGACAGGCTTCCGGCTTCTTTGCATAGGATTCTTCGAGTTTCCCTTGCAAAATCGTTTGCTGGTGATGCAATTGATTCATCTGATGGGAATACAGGAGTCAGTGATTCTGTGCATAGTCTTGCTGATGTTTGTGTTAAAGTTGATAAAAGAACTTTCTATTGCCATCAAGTTATTCTAGCTTCGAGATCAGAGTACTTCAGAGCACGATTATCCCGCGTGAATGATTTCAATGAGGGAAAAAATGGCTTGCTGGGTGATACACTTCCATTTCTCGAAGAACATGATTTGAGCGCAGAGGCTTTTGAGAAGATGATTGAGTATATGTAAGCGTTTGAGATTGTAAAAGACCTGAAAAAATTGTTGAAAAACTTATTGTTGGTAGGGTAAGCTAACATGATAAGCATTATCAGGTACACTGATGGCTTGAAGGAGATCAGTCCGAATCAGGTAAAAACTTGTTGCCATTTAGAAATATTTACGTCTTTCTCCCTTCTGATAATTCAAATCACTTTGCAGGCTGAGGAGATCTTTGATGTTGCATCTCGCTACTTGCTGTTTCCTCTTAAACGTGCTGTGGCTGACGCCTTGTTACCTCACTTGGAAACAGCCACACCTGCAGAACTCTGTCAGTGGCTGGTTTTGTCAGATATGTATGATTCTTTTTAACTAAATCTTTTTTCTATTTGATGGCTTACGTTGCTGCATTTGATGGTCGAGCTGAGTATGTGAAGGACTATGGTACAAAAGTTACTACATTAAATTTTGGTATCTATAGGTCTAGAATATCTTTACTATGGTACAGAAGCTAAATTTGATGACTTAGAGTGGATTTGAGAATGCAGTGCTAAAATATTTTCTGATATATGAGCTGACAAGTTTAGTTTTGAACTTGAATGGCATAGGTACGGCGTATTGAAGATAAGAGAGTACTGCCTAGACTTGGTTGCTTGTAATTTCGAGGCATTTGTTGAAACCCGCGAGTTCAGGGCAATGCTATTAACATTGCCTCCACCATCAGGGGACTCTTCACTTCGAACCACAGTTCCAAGTGCACCAGGCGCCATGATGACCACAGACCAAGGGAATCTCCTTGATGATCTAAGAGAGAAATGGCTTGAAGCAGAGGCTTTAGAGCTTGACATGAGAGACGAGAGTGCTTTGATTTTTGACAAGCGCCTTGCAATGCTCGTGGAAATGGCAGAGCGAGAGAAATCCCAGTCAGAAGCTGAGGACTACAAAGACACCAGCGCATGATTATTGTTCCTTAAACCAAGTTTTGAGTCTCCTTTTTGCTCTTACTTCGTTCTCATAATTTTTATATGAAAGCTTTTTTAAATCTTTCTCTCTATACACAAACGATCAAACATGTTGTAGATATTCATAATAAAAATTTATTTCTAGTACATGCACCATCTGCTTCACTACCAAGGTGTAGTCTCTGATTTGATTATTCATTTATAAAAAGGTCAGACTTGTTTTACAACATCATCATCTGTTGACAAGTTGGAGATCAATTCTGTCACAGAGCTCACATCAGTATCATCAGAGACAGAAGACTCAG